AGACCTCATCTGGCCTCACTGCTTTAAAAATTTTTTTTTCTAAATCTAGAAAACTGCATGATGTTCCCAAGGAAAAATGGATTTTAAAAAGTGGAGCATATCGGGCTGGGAAGGTGGCTCAGTGGTAGAGCGCTTGCCTTGCATGCATGAGGCCCTGGGTTCATTCCTCAGCACCACATAAGCAGAAAATAAAAAAGCCGGAAGTGGCACTGTGGCTCAAGTGGTAGAGCTAGAGCGCTAGCCTTAGGCTGAAGAGCTGAGGGACAGCGCCCAGGCCCCACGACCGGACCCAAAAAAAAAAAAAAGTGGAGCATATGAAGATATACTAACTAAAGAAGAAATTGTTTGGCAGTGACAAATACTTGAAAATATGCATATAGTCTTAAAAATTCTACTTTATATAAACTTTCACAAAACAGAAAAATAACTAGAAAGCTATTCATTTTAGAAGACCATCACAACAGTCTCTAAAACTTGGTAAAATAGTGTAGAACAACTAGGGGAAGGGTGTAGACAGTAGTGGCCTTTAACTTTTGGACCTTGTGATTGCTAGACAGGCCTTCTACCACTTAAGATACAATTCCAGAAAATTTTAAGTACATCTCCTAAATGTGGATAATATATTCTAAAACAAGCTTGCAAATAAATCAGTGTTAAAGGAATGATCTGAAAGGTAGTCAATATTACAAAATTAAGATCCACTTTTAGGGGGAAAGATTCTTTAGTAAAGAAATTTTCCTAATTTGACAATAGTCATCAACTAGAAAAGTTCAGTAGCCACAAATATATCCCTTTCAGTAGCCACAAATATATCCCATAATGATGGGGAAGATTGCAAGGTTTGGGATTGCTACTAGCTCATGAAATGAGATACCTAAAGTCAGAGAAAAATGTATGAACAGATGTAACCAGTTATCTAGAAAATCCCAGAGACCTAAAGAACACCATTCCCCCACTCCAGGGTTGTGCGTTGGAATGTCTACCATGCTGACTAACTGAAATTCAGCAACATAATCACAACAAGGAATAATCAAGAATTAACTGTTGGTTACTAAAGACATGTAACTAGAATCTAAAAACTCAATTTAAGAGTTTTTTTTGAAATACTACTAGAAACCAAACATTCTGAAGAGACTATATTTCAAAAATAATAATCCCAGTTGGGTGCCAGTACTTCATACCTATAATCCTACTCAGAAGGTTGAGCTCTGAGGATCTTGGCTCAAAGCCAGCCCTGGGCAGGAAAGTCTAATAAATCACTAGAAAACCAGAAATGGAGCTGTGGCTCAAAGTGGTAGAGTGCTAGCCTTGAGTTGAAGCCCCATGACCCTCCCCCCGGCCCGCCCCCAAGCCCTTCTATCTATAAGTGTAATATGTAGAAAATCAATCCATCATTGATTAAAATTCTGAGGGGGCTGTTCTGGAATTTGACAAAGTGACTCTCAACTTATTAAAAATACATGGAAAAATTGGGCAGTTGCTCCAACACCTATTATAAGATAAAGCCATAGGAATTATGAGGACTCAGTAAGAGGAATATCCTGGAAGATTCCTGGTGCCATAGAATGCTGAAGGGTAGCGTGGGAGCAGGCTGGTAAACTGTTAAGGTCTATACAAGGATGAGGTTCCCCTTAAGTGGCTAAGAGGAGGTGGGAATACAGCTACATATATGGAACTCAGGTTAGTCTGAGAAACCATAAAGGCCACTGAAACCACTGGATGCCGCTAAACTATTGTCAAACTTTTCTTTCTGATGTGGTTTGGCTTGTCAGTGAATTTCCTATCCACATTTCTATTTTCCATCTGAGGAAATAGGAAAAGGTGTGTTTTGATAAATCCAGTGGAAGACTACACAAATGGTAGAACTTTTATTATTCCTCGGTTTTTTTCCCCCCTATTTTTTCCTTGGTCAGAGACCAGGATTTGAACTTGGTATCTGTGGCCTCTTTCACTCATTGGCTAGCACTCTCCCAACTCAGCCAACCCCTCCTCAATTTTCCCCCAGTCCTGGGTCTTGAACTCAGTGCATAGGCACTGTCCCCGAGCCTGTTGGTGCTTAAGGCTAGAGCTCTACCACTTGAGCCATAGCACCACTTCTGTCTTTTTCTGATTAGTTTATTGGAGATAAGAACCCTAGAGACTTTTCCTGTTTGGGGTTGGCTTCAAACTGTGATCTTCAGATCTCAGCCTCTTGAGTAGCTAAGATTATAGGTGCGCCCAGCTCTTCCTCATTTTTTGTTTTTTTTTGGTTTTTTTTGCTAGTCATGGTGCCTGAACTCTGGGCCTGGGTGCTGTCCCTCAGCTCTTCAGCTCAAGTAGTGCTCTACCACTTGAGCCACAGCACCACTTCCAGCTTTTTCTGCTTATGTGGTGCTGAGGAATCGAACGAACCCAGGACCTCATGCATGCAAGGCAAGCACTCTACCACTGAGCCACCTTCCCAGCCCTCTTCCTCATTTTTAAACAGTGCCTTTTGTGTCATTTCCCTTCTTTAAAGCCATTGAACTTTTCTCTCCAACACATACCCCAGAATACATGACCCCTGCTAGGCCTTTGATTCACACAGGCTGTGACTCTAGGTGCTTTCACTATTACTCCAATCCACATCCTGTAAGGGCTTGAACACTCCTGACACCTTCATCCCAACACATACTCTCTCCTCCATGCCTCCGACACATGGCAAAGTCTTAATTCTATGCTTGCTTCATTGTGAGCATCTCAAATATATTTCTCACACTATACACGTTCACTGAGATATTTGAATAAATTTTCCCAGATAACACAGTATTTCTGCGAATATCCAACTTTCCATGCTGCCCTCTTTCCTCTCTCCCCCCACCCCCAAATGCATGGTCCAAATGTGAAATAAGAAGTAAATCAGCCGGGCGCCGGTGGCTCACGCCTGTAATCCTAACTACTCAGGAGGCTGAGATCTGAGGATTGCGGTTCAAAGCCAGCCTGGCAGGAAAAGTCCCTGCGGCTCTTATCTCTAATAAACCACTCAGAAAACCAAAAGTGGAGCTGTGGCTCAAGTGGTAGAGCACGCGCCTTGAGCTGAAGAGCTGAGGGACAGCGCCCAGGCCCAGAGTTCAGCCCCATGACCGACAAAAAAAAAAAAAAAAAAGTAAATCAACTGTACCCAAATCTAAATCAACAGGACTTGTTTGATCAACCTAGTGTGCCAAACAACACTATGAAAGACAAAGTGCCAAAATGCAGACAGTTGTGGAGAGGAGTCAAAGCAGAAAGAGCAATCATCCATCAGGAATGAGACCACAGGCACCCTCCTCCAAAGCAGCCCCTTCTTCATAGCTCATCTGCCAGGGGCAGCACTGACTGCCCCCAGGAAACTGTGTTTTACCTTCAACCCAAATTAAATATGTGACTCCTAGTAAAAAGGGTAGTGAGAATTCCAAGTGTAACTATGCACATCTGACAAAAAGCACACACACTTTAGAGAACAGAGCCAAACACACAAAACTGCACATTCACAGAAACTAGGGCTGTTGCCACCACCATTTATTTATCTAGTTCATAAGCAAGGACAGAATACTACAGTTGTGTTAGAAATCCAATGAATGCCTGCCCTTATGGGGCGTACAGTCTTACCAAGCAAATACAAAGCAGGCCAACTATAGGAAAGCTCATGCTAAGAAGTGTTAAGACTTCAGAAGGCAGCATGGTTTAAGAATGCAGGGTTAGGAGTCATGGAATCTGACATTTTAGCCCCCACATGGCAAGTCAAATCACTTCTCTGTGTACATTACCTCAGCTTCAAAGGAAGTAGTCCTGGAGGCTGCCAGCGTTTGTTTCCAGCATGGTTCCAATCAAAAGCAAGTTTTACAGAAGAGGAGGCACTGGAGTGGGACAAGTGACAGAAAGCAGAGAGGGCATTTCCACACAAGGAGGGCAGCACTGAGGTAGGCAAAAGTGTGGGCGTTAAGGAGAAGGCAGGCAAGTGTCACAGGGAATAACGGGGTGAGGTGAGTGGCGGAGCCATCGGCTACAACAGCCAGTCGAGACAGCACACTTCTAGTAAAGGCCAGAGAACAATGTGACACTTTAGTAAATAGTCTGTACTCTATTTCCAGAAAAGATAAAAGTATTTTAAGGTTATACCTCTACATTTTCACAACGACATCAAAAAGCCATTCAAATTGTCAAGATGTAAACCAACTCAAAGTTTACATTCATAGTAAAGTCCATTCCAAAGGACATCTCATTACTTCAATAGCTATTTATTTCCTACTGTGTCCATCATACTATGGAAATAAAAATGACAAGGTCCCTGGCCAGAAAGAACCACAGCCTGGTAGTTGTGACAAACTAGAGACTGTGATGATCTAGATTGTTCTCAGAGGCAGCATGATTGACCCATGTGACTTTATTAATAATAGGCATGATTGACATGTGTGACCCTATAAGTAATAAAAACAGGTTCCTCCCTTTGAAGGGGTTATGGCAAAGGCATAGAAGGAAGGTGAATGTTCCAAAGAGAAGTGTCCCGGGGAGAAAGAATGGAGTGGTGAGGAGATGGCTTCTAGACAGAGGAAATGTGGGCACAGATGGCCTGTGCAGGGCTGGCCACAGTTACAGAGTGGCTGGAGCACAGGAAAATGACAGTTGGGTCTGGAAGTAGCCCTACATAAACAATCATCTACTAACACTGGTTTCTAAGGAAGAGAAAGGAAAGGAAGTAAGCAGCCAGCTGTGCCTGGCAGTTACCATATAAGCCATTCCTGGCAGATTCTCCAGCCTGTCCTCCAGATTTCAGGAAATCGCAGTGGAAAGGCACCTAGGAGCACTGGGACAGAGCCAGAAATGCAGGTATGTAGCTGATCATTACCATAACGGAATGGCCACTGTAGTATACAAACACCTGCAGATGAAACTTCCTGTTTCTGAAAGGACCCAATTCATACCAAATGTTATACAATGCCATGAGATTTCAGATCCTATCAGCACATAACTAAGACTGGATCAAAACTGCATTTCTTGGCTTAAAATAAATACAAATAACTTTTAATTTCATGTCTTAATATTCTCAGCTACTTCCAAAATATGTCAATACATAAATAAACTGCCTTGCAAAGAATACAGAGGGAAATGTAGAAGCAAAAGAAGCCATTGCTTCAGGTCAATACTAAATTTGTTTCTCAGAGTAACATTACAAAACCATTCTACAAAAGTGACACCTTCTGGAAATTTCATTTTATAATAAAATAAATCTGCCATTTTATTTAACATTCATTCTTAAGTTACAATTATTGTTGTTACAATCTGTTTCTAATGAAATAAACTTTAGTATAATCCTAAAAACATGCATAGATATATAGTAAGAAACTCTATACGCCTAGATAAATTACATGCATGATATATTAACCAATAAAGAATACCAATGTAAGAATTCAGGACATTTATTTTTCTGAATGAACATTTAACTACTGTACAACACATGCAAAACAAAGCCCCATCTAGCAACAGTGTGTAATAGGTCATGAGGCGCTATAAGCATATTTAAAATGCTTATGAATGGGCTTTATTTTTAGGCAACAAAATATTTGCAATCCTTGACATCTTCTTACACTCACCTAGCACCACAGATGCAAGGATTTTTTTTAACAGTAAACGTGTACAATTTCATGCTTACAACCTAATGCATGCACAAGCCCAACTTATACTGTGATCTACTCTACTAAGTATGCAATACTTACTTCTTACTAATATTTTATACATTAAATTACCCTGCAGCATTTTTGGAATTTTAACATTTATACAAAGCAACTTTTGAAAGATTTATGAAACGAAGTTTCAAAGTTCACCTTCAGGCTGGTTTGGTTAAGCAAAACAAAAAAAATGGCAGCAGCCTTAAGGTTCATACTGAATGAAAATGGTACATGTGCGTATCAGTCCATGTAGAAATAGCTATATACACAGATGGCACAGGATTTGCTCAGGTGGAATAGCCAGTGCAAATGCATGCATTTGAGGTACTTATATTTCCATGGTCAGGTATAATTATGCATAGTCATTTTCCTCAAGTGCCAAAGATTACAGACCTGATCAAAATCAGAAATTCTAAGTGTAAATAATGAGATATATTTAAATAGTTAATTTCAAAGTTTTGCTTTTTTTAATAAAGATCTGTTTTAACATTATAGGCTTTACATATTTAGTTTAAAATAGTTACCAATAAATTTTCTCATTGTACCGAGAGTGACTGGTAATTATACCTGGCCAAGTGATTTAAATAGCATACTGGAAATTCTTGCAAGAACTGTAGTGAAAGAATAAAATACTTCATTATTGCTTCGTTGGACTGCAAAACCCAAAAGTCATAATGCTCAGTGATGAAAATGTAATACCCAGAAGAGCAGCGCAGGCCCCCAAAGGCCTCTATTCAATAATCACTAAGCATTCTCCACGTTATCAATGCCGTTGGCATCCACATGAATATCAGTCTCCCCACACAGAGAAGAAGGGACAAAGCGGCTAACAGTGGGACACAAACAGCTCTTAAGTTCTGGCAATTCTTGCTTCAGGCGTTCCAATTGCTCCACTTGGAATATATTTGGCTGTTCAGGCATCCAATCATATATCCTATGGTGAAACAAACACAAAATACATAAAATAGCGCAATTTTAGGCTTTACTTAAGATTGCCCGACTTAACCTTTTCAAGAGAATTCAAGTACAAGATGCCTGGAGCATCCATATTTCAGAGCTTTTGTTTAGTTTTTTAAAATGAAAGCATCAGCTTTATTTAAAAATCATTTTCTGTTAGGTGCTGGTGGCTCACACCTGTAATCCTCCTCCTAAGGAGGCTGAGTTCAAAGCCAGCCTGGGCAAGAAAGTTCATGAGACTCTTCATCGCCAATTAACCACCAAAAAACCCATTAAGTAAGTGGCTCTGTGGCTTAAAGTGGTAGAGCTCTAGCCTTGAGGAGAAAACCTCAGGGACAGTGCCCAGGCCCTAAGTTCATGACTGACAAATTATTTTCTTCTTCTTGGGCTATCTAAAAATGCAGAATAGCAGCACTGTTCTTTTGTACCCCTGATTACAAGGCAATTGAACCAGAAAATTAAAACCAAAGTTTATTAGTTATTCTGAAACTATCTGCCTTTAGCAGTGCTACCTTTTACAGATGAAAGCTTGTAAGAGCCAGAACTCATACTCAGTTCTGACTTCAAGGTCAATAAAGAACAAGATCCAAAATGGGGATCCCAGAAAGAACCTTGGCACTGCTGTCAAGCAGAGAAGTTGGCCTGGCATGCCATACTGTGAAAGACAACTATGCAGGGCACTACAAGAGAATCTTTATGACATCATATGAGTGATGAAGTTCTTAAGATAATAAACACACTGACCCTATTAAACATCTGACTGCACTAAGACTTTCTGATAATTAACAGTTACGTGCAGGGCTTGGGGTGTGGTTCAGTGGTAGAGCATTTACTTGCCCAAGATGTGTGAAGCCCTCAGTTTTGATTCTCAGCAATGAAAAAACAAAGACATGTTTTGTTTGTTTGTTTTTTAAGGAAGTAACTTCTAAGCTAGGTGCCAGTTGCTCACGTCTGTGGATCTGAGGATTATGGTTAAAAGCAAGCCCATGCAGGAGAGTCTCTGAGATTCTTATCTCTAGTTAACCACTAAAAAGCCAGAGGTGGAACAGTGGCTCAAGTGGTAGAGTGCTAGCCTTGAGCACAAAAACTCAGGAACAGGACCTGAGTCCAAGCCCTGGATGAGCACCAAAAAAAAAAAAAAAAAGAATTAAGAGTGACAAAAGTATGGGAGCTGGGGTGGCTACCAGGAGATGAGGAGCATGGTTGGAAGCCAGCTCAGGCAGGAAAGTCCCTGAGATACTTATCTCCAAAATACTGGAAATTGAGCTACGTAGGGTCAAGTGGTAGAACGCTAGCCTTGAGCAAAAAAAGCTCAGGGACATATCCAGGCCTTAATTCAAGCCCCAGGACCAATACAAAACCAAATCCAAAGCCCAAAAGAAAGGGACTAGGAAGGTGGCTCAGTGGTAGAGTGCTTGCCTTGCATGCATGAGGCCCTGGGTTTGATTCCTCAGCATCCCATAAGAAAAAAGAAAAAAGCCGGAAGTGGCACTGTGGCTCAAGTGGTAGAGCGCTAGCCTTGAGCTGAAGAGCTGAGGGACAGTGCCCAGGCCCAGAGTTAAGGACTCCCGAAACAACAGCAACAAAAAAAAAAGAAAAAAAATAGTATGAGTATGCAAAAAACTGGAGACAAAAAAAATGTAAAAGCTAGGAAATAGGTTATGTTTAGGGACATGTACTGATAAGGCTAAGAGCTACCTAGTGCCCAGAAAAATGGTTGAAAATAGATTCACTGGAGACCCATCTCTGGAAATTTGACAAAGAGAAATTCTCCTAGCTCCCAGATTACTTAAGGACTAGTAACCAATATGGCTTCACAGTCCTCAAAATCAATGCATAAAGTGGAAATACGATAGAGAAATGCTGATCAAATTCTAATGGAAAATCATATTTTGCACAAAATCAAGTCACACTTCTAGACATAAAAGACCTAAAAATGTTTACACCTTCCTTTCTCAGGAAGGAGGTTAAATATTATAAGGATCTTTCTTGGGACAATGTAAGGGTGTACGTAAACAAATGAACTCCGTAAAAATGAGAAGATCTATTTAGGCTACAGGAAAAAGAAGGAACACAGTATATACCAAGTTCCTGTCTCTCAGTACGACACTTGTGCCCACCAATGTGGGCATATTAAAAGGAGTGCATGCTGAAGTGATTATTCAAAGAAGGCTCTGTTACTTCAGCAGCCTTTTAACTTAAGGGGAGTATACCTAGATGAGTCAGTGCCAGCATCTTGGCTACTGTGCTGCAGAATACTGCAGTTCTTCTTGGCCAACCACATGTTAGGAAAGAACTCTGCCACTGAGCTGTATATCTCAGCTACTAAAAATATATTTTTTTTATTAAAAGGAGGGAAGCAGGAGCAGCTTACTGTGTGGCTAGTTCTCTGATACCAAAACTAGACAACCATTTGAAAAAAGCCATCCCAAATGCAAAACTCTCAAACAAAATACTAGAAAGTCAAATAAAACAGCTCATGTAAGATAACATGTTTAAATATAAAATTTACTGTTTTAATGTCTTTTTAAAGAGGAAAAAAAAAGTTTGTGCCTATCCTTGAACACAGGGTCTAGGTACTGTCCCCAAGCATAAGCATAGCACTCTACCACTTGAACCATAGTTCCACTTCCAGCTTTTTGGATTAATTTTGGTTAACTGGAAATAAGACATTGCTGCTGGGGATGGCTTTGAACTGTGATGCTTAGATCTCAGTCCCTTTAGTAGGTTAGGATTACAGGTATGAGCCACCACCATCCCGCTGAGAAAATTGTATTTGAACATATAAAATAATCACCATACCTTTTCTAAATGCATCAAATGCTCCAAACCACTAATCTCTCAAAACTTAATTTAGAAACATGCATGTAAATACAACAGCTAAAAGATTTAGGAGGTGGGGACTTGGCCAGGAACAATGGGAAGAAGAGATACAGATATTGCTGGTTTTTCTTTTGTTTCTTAGAGAAATGTTTGAAAATTTAAATATATACATGAAGTACTTTTGTTATATTTTAAAATACAATTTTCATAAGTAAAAATCTGTTGCAATATAATACACCTTATCTCACATCAGACTCTAAGAGAGTTCAATGCCAGGCTGTTCTCTGCAAAATACTATGCTCCTGCAACTCAACCCCTGCCCTGGTTCAGAGTCTTGCTTTAGCCTAAAACAAAAACCCTAACAAAGCCATTTTAATCATGGTCAAATTCCTACTAAATTATTTCTCTTTAAAGAAACCAGCCAGGAAGAACTTTTTACACTGTCATGGAACTTTCTGTTCTCCACTGTATGTCAACATATGATTCTAACCAATCAAGGTCCCTGAGGTGAAGGATTCAACTAAAAAGCTACACACTATATAATCTCACGTTACATTTTTCTTGTGAAAAATACTATGCAGTCATTCCTTTCTCCATACACATAAACTATTCACTTAAAATTTTAATTATTAGAAATACCTATAAAAAAAAAAACAAAACAGGTTGGGGCTGGGGAGGTGGCTCAGTGGTATAGTGCTTGCCTTGCATGCATGAGGCCCTAGATTCCATTTCTCAACACCACATAAGCAGAAAAAGCCGTAAGTGGCGCTGTGGCTCAAGTGATAGAGTGCTAACCTTGAGCTGAAGAACTGAGGGACAGCGCGCAGGCCCCACAACCGACCAAAAAAAAAAAAAGGACACAGGTTATGCTATTTTATGCAAAATCAACCAAATATGTTAAAAGGCGGGCAGTATCTGGACTACAATTTAAAAACCAGACTAATTCAGACAACAGTGAAGGGAAAAGCTTTATTTAACAAGTGATATCACTTTGTAGAACAAATAATATGAACTAAATCCTAGGACAGTGTTTAAGAGAACTGTAGATGCATCATTTCCTCTTTGCCTGAGACTACATGCCTATAATTCCACCAGTAAGTAAACAACATTCCAACCTAAACCTTCTTTATACTAAAGAAATGGTGGTTGTGAAATCTACACCCAGAAAGATGATTAAAAACAAAAACACTAACAACAAAAACAAAATGCAAAACGAGCATACGTTTTGAGTTCCTAATGTATCCTGGACTCTGGAGATGGTGATCAAAGCAGGCAAAATGCCTTCCCTTGTGCAGCTTCTGTCCCCATTTGTGTGTGTGCATTAGGTCAGGAGGTGGGAGTGTTTATGTACATGAAGCCAGGGGAAAGAAGCCAGAGAGAAAAACAGACAAGCAGCATATTATTCACAGGGCATGTATCAGGTGGTAATAAATGATATGGAGCAAAGTCAGGAAACATGCTGTGAACACAGGCTGTTATTTATGTTGGGTTATTTCAGAAAACCCTCTCTGAGGTAACAAGCACTCCACGCTCTGCAGGAGTCTTTCTCTGATAAAAAGAGAAACAGCAGATAGGCAAAACCTTTTGGAAGAAAGGTTGGAAGAGGGAAAGGTTGGGAGGTAGTACGCGGATCTGGAGGGAAGAGGATCAGACCCTTATAAAGACTTCACTCCTCCAGAGGACACAGCAAAACATGGGAGGATTTTCAATAGCAACATGATCTGGCTTAAGTTTTAAAAAGCTCCCTCTGGCTGCAGTTATGAAAACAAACTGTATGGAAGTACAGTTAAAAGACCGGTGCAAGGGCCAAGCCACATCAATAATGCACATGGGAGATATGGAGGCCTAGCTGAGAATGACAACAGTGAACACAATGAATAGATGTTATTTTGGCTACATATATCTTACTGGCTCTGGGTATAAAGAACAGTCATATAAAAAACAGTCCAAAGTCCCAACAGAGACTTGGACAGGAGCCGTTTATGTTGAAATCAAGATGGCAGTAGAAAAGGACATAAAAGTTTAACTATGACCAGGCCTTGAGTTTGAGCCCCAGGACTGGCATGAACTCAAGTCAGGGGGGAAAGACGTAGTTGGAGATACACAATAGTGTATGAGAGTGTGTGTATGTGTGTGTATGAGAGAGAGAGGGAGAGAGAGACAGAGATAGAGAGACAAAGAGAGACAGAGAAGCCACAGAATTGTAATGAGACTAATGAGAAAGAGGACAGACAGGGAAAACAGGTCAGGCAGACAGCTATTCTCTCTCCAATATGACTTAGAACATCTGGGTTAGAGATTGGTCATCTTTTGTGACTCTGATATGCTTCAAAGTTAGCTTAACTAACTTTATTTGTAATTTTATAAGACCAAAGCTACACTTTTTCTAGTATTCCATGTAAATTTTTTACAAAAAACAAATACCTATCATAAATTAGACCATTAACTCCAAATTCCTTCAATTTCCTTCTGTTTTCGGGATCATTGGTATCATCACCCCAACAGAATATGACTAGTCCCTTGGCTTTTGCCTCTTGGATATAGGATGGGTTTCTGAGCAGGTCTTCAGTATGTGCATTTATCCCCTAAAAAGAAATTGTTACAAAAAAAGGAAATTGTTAAAAAGAGAGTTGCTGCAAAAAAAGTAATATATTAACTATAAATGGTAGTCTAGAGGCAGAACAATGTTACAAAGAAATGTTACAATTTCTTATTACAGCTTGTTTATTCTCTGAAATAGATTTTTCATATACATATACATTTGCAAAAATTAATAATATATACACAGAACTTATAAACACACATTAAATGTGCATTCATTCTAATGACTAAGTAGTGCTAATTACTTGTTACATGTTAGTCAAAACCTTAAACAGATGTACAGAGTAATGTGAAGCCTTATTTACTGTTCTACAACACAGAACAATAGAAACTGAAAAAATAAAAACTGTAACATACCAGAATATTTTCAAATTGTGCAAAGCTCATTGCAATGGGGGTTGTTCGACATCTGAGATCCATTAGTTCAGGGTAAATATCAGATTTTCCCTGAGTCAAAAATAATATGGGATATTTGTTCTGCTTTTGACGAACCCTAGAAAAGACAATTAATAAAATACTTTTTTTTTTTTACGGAAACAACCATAATGTTCTATTTTTACATTTGAGAAAACAACGTAAAATTTAAAAGAAGTCATTACTCAGCTATAACCACTCTAAGCATGTGTTGCCTTTTGATCAAAGCATAAAAATGCAAAGCTTTTCTACATAAGAATTAAAATAAGCCACAAAAGTGGGCAACGAGTCAGCCCACTGGGGCTTACAGTTCAATAAGGAGGACATGAAAGGCTGTGATCCCTCACAGGGCCATAGAGTGAAGGGCATCTTGCAAGCCCAAGGAAGGGACACACAAATGTGGGCAATATGACCAGGGAGAGGACAGATGAAAGGCTAACTGTGAACACTTCCCAATCTTCCAGCCACCCTTGTACCCAAGCCCTAGCAACATTCCAAGAGTACTCACATTGTGCAGATATCTGCATCAAATGAAGAAAACACTATTCTCCTCTTCCCAGAGTTTTCTAAAACAGTTTTTAAAATTATATCCAAAAACAGATTCATGTCAAAATATGTTGACAAGTTTCCATCCCATATTCCATCCTAGGAAGAAGAAAAAGGAAAATAAAAGCCATTATACATTTTAGAATCATAGTGCTAGGAAAAACCCTAAAAACACATACATCAAAGTCACTATTTAAAAATTGTAAAATATATCTTACTGAATTTATTAAAGGTATACAACAGGACATTATGGGACACACAGATAGTGCAAGTATTACTTACAGTCCTCACATGTACAGGGGATCTATACTTATTCATCCTATACCTGTCACTTTATAACCTTTGACCTATATCTTTCTCTCTATTTCTTTCTCCACCCCAATTCCTGGTAGCCAGTTTTTGTTTTCTATCTCTGTGTATTTGAACTTGAAACTTTTTTTAGACTCCACATATAAGTAAGATTATAAAAAAAAGTTTAATGTCAGGTTTATTTCATTTAGCCTGTAATATCTTCCAAGCTCATTCATGCAAGATCAAATGCAAGATCTCATTTTCTAGAGTATCTGTGTGGTATTATTTCTTTAGCCATTTATCCACTTGTAGGCACTTAGGTTGCTTCTGTATTTTGGATATTGCAAGCAATGCTGCAATGAACATGGAAAGGCAGTTATCTTTACAAGTAAAGGTCATATGGCTGAGTCATATGGCAGTTCTATTTTTCATATCCTTAGAAGTTGCTCTTTCATAATGGCTATAACAATCTACATTCCCATCAGCCTTGTAGGGAATTCCACATAGCCACTCCTTGGCCAATATTTGTTATCTTTGTGTGTATGTGTGTGTGAATGTGTGTATGTGTGTGTGAATGTGTGTGTGCGCGCGTGCGCGCCTGTTCTAGGGCTTGAACTCAGGGCCTAGTTGCTGTCCAAGCTTTTTTCACTCATGCTCTACCATTTGGTAACAGTAGCTTTCCAATAAATATTTGTTTAAAAAATGAATAACTAAACCTGGGCATGATTTAAACCACACCTATAGAAATTTTTTTTCCAGAGTTACTATTAGAATTTACTACTGCCTAACCAAAACTGTTTAATTAAAAAATGGTTAGATGGGGAATTAGAAAATAAAAATGAGGGGCTAGGAAGGTGGCTCAGTGGTACAGTGCTTGCCTTGCATGCATAAGACCCTGGAGTCGTTTCCTCAGCACCACATAAAGCAGAAAAGGCTGGAAGTGGCACTGTGGCTCAAGTGTTAGAGCGCTAGCCTTGAGCTAAAGAGCTGAGGGATAGCACCCAGACCCAGAGTTCAAGCCCCACAACCAAAAATTAAATAAATAAAATAAAAATAAGAATGAGGTTTTTGATTGTCTTTTAAATTAGGCCTGGAAAACATATTAATATGCATATAAGATACACGTTAACTGAAATTTCTGATACATGGACCTTTAAGAGTACTCACAGACAGAAATTATCTAAAAGATCAAACAAGAACTGTGTTTTGATGGAAGAAGCTATAAGAATTGTTTCACTCAATCTCACTGAAGCTAAGAGAGATTTAAAAAAACGTGAGAAAAGAAAGAACAGTGTCATATATACAAAATCACTTACCCTTTGTTGACAGATCCATTTTATTTCTATGTTAAATCCTACATCTTCTGGCAAAGACTCTAAAACCTACATGTTTTTGATGAGATTGATAGAAAAAAAATGATTTTAGGAAAAAAAATGATTACAAAAGTAATCAGTAAAGATCTACTACTAATAAGAATACAATTTTTTTTGTCTCTGATATAAACCATCATCTTTTTACATACTGACAATCTGGTTGATTGTGTTCAATTAAGAAGTATAATCATAGCAAAAGCAGTGGTTTCCAGTGTCATAACTGGTAACTATCACCACAAAGATAATGAACCCAAAACTCTTCTAATTATTCCTTTTAAACATCCTAGGTAAACTGTAAGCAAGAATCAAGAAGACATATACAATGTTTTCTGTGTTACATTCAAGTGTTAATATACTTTACAAAGACAATTATATGAAAAATTATGTTTTTTAGTTTGTTTTGAATACATAGTGACAATGCTCAACAAATACCACTCCTGATAGGAAATAAGCTAGGAAATATAGTATTCCCAACTGGAAAACTATGCTGAGGCCATAAATCAAATTTCTATCACTTATTTAATAAGAAAATTATGGGGATTTTGCAATCAGATTAGTTTGGCAGTCATAAGGGAAAAAAAATCAAGTGAAATATAAAGCTTAATCATTAACCTACAAAAAACTGTCTTGTATAGCCTTAAATACCAAACTAATATGTAACATGTGAGGGCAAAATGAATGACATTTGTATTTACTTCAATCTATTTCAAATTTTCAGCACCTGGGCTAGGTGTGCCTCAAATGGCAGAGTATCTCCCTAGCAAGTGCAAGGCCCTGAGATCAAACCCCAAGTACTTTCAATTTTTTAAAAAGTCATTTCACATGTCTAACACATATGGCATTCAACTTTATAATAGCAAATCAAGTATACTAACACAGAGGGGGAAAGGAAAGCCTGGGAGTATGGTGACCTGGCATCTAGCCCCGTCTGTTCACTGTGAGCTGCATATAAACCAGTACGACACAGACTTTTTTTGGCCAGGCTAGTGTCAATCTCTGACTCTCAGATCTTAGCCTCCTAAATAGTTGGGATTATAGATATGAGCCACTTGCATCCAGCTGTGATATCCTTGACTATCAATATTTAATTCATTCATTCATTTATTTATTATTTTTATTTTTGGTCATTTGTGGGGCCTGAACTCTGGGCCTGGGCGTTGTCCCTCAGCTCTTCAGCTGAAGGCTAGCACTCTACCACTTGACATCAGCCCCACTTCCAGCTTTTTCTGCTTATGTGGTGCTGGGGAATCAAACCTAGGGCCTCATGCATGCAAGGCAAGCACTCTACCACCAAGCCACCTTCCCAGCCCCTCAATACTTAATTTTAACCACTTGAGATATTCTTTAATGATCTAACTCCTTGAATAGTGCATACCTAAATCCTAATGTACACAACTAAAGAAAACAGTTTTGCTATAGATTGCTTACTATTCACTTTCCTTTCAAACTACAGTAATCAGTTCAGCAACCAGACAATACACTGTTAAAGCTAATATGCTCTATCCCCAGCCCCCCCTCAAATCATTATGAATATCATGATAAAGCCTTTTCAACTAGGAAATCTACTGTACGCTATATTATCAGGGGAAAAAAAGTGAGGAGAGTAGAAGTTTGTAGGAGGGAGAAATGGGAATGTTATTTCTCTCTCAGTCTAAGATACAGGTTTTAATACTGGTTTGGTTTTGTTGTACCAGTACTAGGAAGTCAGAGCCTGGTGCTCTTGCTTGGCTTTTTCACTCATAGTTGGTACTATACCAACTTGAATGTATACATCTCCACGCTTGGGTATAGCTTTCCATCTGATGAACATACTTATCTCACCATTATCATTCTCCCACCCACTTTTCTGTGCCCTTTTCAACCTTTTATATAGAAATATGAGAATTTCCTACCAATTCACCCACTGAGAATTTTGAGCAAGTACATGGTATTAAAAAACAAAAAGCAGCACAGGTACCCCATGCAAAAATGATGGTTTTCCTTAGCACACACATTGACAAACTTACATTAGTCATGTTTTCAGCATAATACTTTTTGGTGCCCAAATAAGAAAACAAAATATTCAGGAAATTAGAGAATAAGGTAGCTTTGCTCTGATTTTTCCAAAGGAACTTACCATCTTAAGAGAAGGAAATGGCTGGTTTTCAGAAAAGGAGCTTTCCTCTTCAACCACAGATTCTAAAATTTAAATTTAAAAAAAAAAAAGACTCAATAAACTGCTCCTAGATGAGTCTTTTCTTAAATTTTGAAATCATGAGAGCATTTGTGTCTCCATGTTGCTGGAACATACTGCCATACAGTGGCACGGAGAATCTCAAGTAGGAGAAATGCAGTCTAAGCCCTGCATTACAATCTCTCTAGCATCTTCTCCCCTTACAGAAGTGAACTAACTGCTGGACAATCTTGGAGCACTGAGACAAGCAGGCAGAATGCTTCAATCGAACAGTTCTTTCCAGCCAGTGCAGAACTCAGTGATCTATTTGCTCATATCACTTTCCAAGCATTCAGAGGTTACACTAAGGATTGGTCACTTGCTGCCTTGCTTGGTTGGGCCACAGTAATGTAAAGGTCTCTGCAGCCAGCAGACCTTATCGCAAAAAAAAAAAAATAAGAAAGGTGTCTGCCCAGAAGCAGACAGCAGACTCTTTTCTACAAAAGACTCCAGTTAGATTTCCTTTGTCTAAGCAGTGCTGTAATTCCAGCTTAGTGTTCTGAGCACTTGGGTTAATGTTTTCTTTTTTGCTACTGAGCTATAATCCAGTTTAATGGTGAAAAACAGCACCTCAATCATACCTGACCCTTGAGGATACTTCAACTAAAACACAAGTATTTAAAACTTCCAACCAACTGCTTGGTTTCATATGTGCAAATCCCATCACAAAAAAAAAAAAAAAAAAAAGGCTCCTCACCTCCCCCCCCCCCCCAAAAAAACATAATTTCTCAAAAATTGAATGTTAGGGGAACAAAACAATGATAGTGAAGTGGATAAAGGCTCAAAGAATACAATAAAAAAATGATTACAAGAATGATCAATGAGCATTTCTCTCCACTCGGCCATCCTGTCAGCTGCTTTGGTTGGAAGCCCTCCCACCTTAGGCAAGAAGATGGTGGCTGCCAAGAAGATGAAAAGTCCCTGGAGTTGATCAACTTTAGATTCCAACTTGTTATGAAAAGTGGGAAAGTATATGCTGGGGGACAAGCAGACTCTGAAGATGATTGGACAGGGCAAAGGGAAATTGGTCATCCTTGCCAACAACTGCCCAGCCTTGAGGAAATCTGAAATAGAATACTATGCTACGTTGGCAAAAACTGATGTCCATTACTACAGTGGCAATAATATTAAACTGGGCACAGCATGTGGGAAATACTACAGAGTATGCACACTGGCTATCATTGATCCAGGTGATTCTGATATCATTAGAAGCATGCCAGCACAATAAAGAGTGCACAATTTTTCTTTAATAAAACTTGCCACGCGGGCTGGGGAGGTGGCTCAGTGGTAGAGCGCTTTCCTTGCATGCCTGAGGCCCTGGGTTCGATTCCTCAGCACCATATAAGCAAAAAGAAAAAAGCCCAAAGTGGTGCTATGGCTCAAGTGGTAGAGCGCTAGCCTTGAGCTGAAGAGCTGAGGGACAGTGCCCAGGCTCAGAGTTCAAGCCCCATGACCAACAAAAAACAAAAACTTTAATAAAACTTGCCAGACCTGGTTTAAAAAAAAAAAAAAAGATCAATGAAATCACAGAGGACATCAATAAACACCAAGCTGAATGTTAAGAAAACTACCCAAAGAGTTGAATGAGGTTGGAGGTATCAGTAGTAGTTGCCTAGCATGCAAAAGGCTCAGTGTCCAAGCTTCTGAACTGCCTGCCATACATAAATAACAAATTTGAATGAAATACAGAAAAGACAAGAAAGAGTAATTCAATAAAGAATACCAAAAAATCCTACAGAAATTCCATATTGGTACATACCTTTCCGATCTTTAGATTTTAGTGCTGTCACATGAGAAAGCTAAAAAAACACAAACACACAAAATGCCATTAGAAAAGGCCATCGTTTAAGAGATGGTTAATGAAACTAAGTTGAAAGCAGTACATTAGAAAAGAATTATAAAATGTAGCATTAGTAGTTTAATAAAAATAAGCACAAACCACTGTATGTAGTACATATATATATATACAAACTCATGAACAAACATGCAAGAAGGAAAGACTATATAAAAACTCTTAATTTAGAAAATATACTTAATCATTTATTTAGGCATCATAAGATGGGAATAGGAATTATGTAAAATTAGCATGGTAAAACATAATATACAAAGACCCTAGAAATTAACACATACCAACTATAATGTAAAAGCCTTATTATAAATTAAGGATAATCTGGTTGAACCACTACTAAATATCCTCATGCTGCTGATCACAAATATGGTATATAACATGTGAACACTGTTATATATTACAGACTGTGGTAGACAATTTGCTCCAGGGAAGTAAGAATGAACTTGTGACTTTGAAATTATGTAATCATTTAATCACAATCAAAAAAAAAAAAAAAAAAAAGAACCTCGGGGAAGGGAGGGAGGGAGGGGATGGTAGGGGGAAAACAATGGAGGGGGTAACAATGTTCAAGAGGAAGTGTACTCATAACCTCACTCATGTAACTGTAACCCTCTGTATAGTAGCTTTACAATAAAAAAAAAAAAGCTGTAAAAAAAAAAAATAAATAAATAAATTAAGGATAGTTTTATAAGAAAGGGTTACTGAAGACCAGAAGCAACCTAAGATTGTGGATATGAAGGGCTAGCTCTAATGCAAATTTCACCTTTGTGAATGCAAAAATCAATGGGATGCATGACTATCAGATGTCTAGACCAAAGGTTCTAGAGCCATAACATCCCAAACACACCAGTTCTCTTTTGAGCTCAGAAACTAAATGAACATGGTCAGGCCTGGTTAGTGCTTGGATGGTAAAAGACAAATCAACACAAACCCATCCTTCCCTTCATCAATGCATGCTGAATATATATTCAGCCATGTTGTATATATAATAACATTACACAGAGGCAATTATAAGAAGTACTAAAGCTAAGGAAACATTCTCATGGTATGCTACTCTTAGTACCTTTAGCAACTGGAGTTGGTCAAATGTTAATTCCTTTACTGGAATTTCAAACAATTCGACTGGATCAGCATCAAATTTCTATTAAAGAAAAGAGAAAAAAATGGACGCCATTTCTTCATTAATAAATATTTACATTACACGACCTATAGTTTCAATTACTTATGATAAAAATAACTATAGGTAGGCAATATGATTGCCATGCAGAAAAGCCCTTTGTATCTAACACTACCTCCCAGCTCTTCTATTTTGGCATTTTCTTTTTTTGTCTCTAGTGCTCTGATCAACCTCATGGACTTGCACATGCGAGGCAAGCATTCTACCACAGAGCTGCATTTCCTGGCTTGATTTTAATTCAGGCAGTGAGTGCCTAGAAGTAAAGGGCAGCTGGGAGGAAGTTGTGAGACAGCAGGATATCAGTCATCATTTCCTCTACTTCCTTCATGCACTTTTCACATTTATTTTGTTTGACATATATTCATGCTACATGCCTAAGAAATCAACATGCAAATACTGAAATATTAATCAGTAAGTTTCTAAACTTTTCTAAGACTTTTAAATATTTAAGTTTGACTTAAAAGAGCAGCCACCAAACAAATTGCCATGAAAATTGTCTGAATAGCCATAAGCAATAATATTTAATAAGAACTTTAATCTGCCAAGTATCCCCGACAAGCAAATCTACTGTACTAGGTTTTAATGCTATGTCAAATATCACACGGCTACAGGTACTACCATCTCAAGAAAATGAATTAAGGTAGTACCAATAAATCATCAATCCAACAATTACATTAAAAGCCATTGCATGTACATAGTTACTCATGTACACTGGTACAAACCTGCGTATGCATAAACTTTTTCTGGAAGGATACACAAGAAACTATTAAAAATAAGTGAGACCAAGGAAACAGGGGGAAAGGAAAACTATAAGTTTCAATTTTTATCTTCTATACTACCTGTATTGTTTTTCTAGTGGACATGAATTGTTTTTACATGAAAGATGCCAGTTTAAAAATTAAAACTTGAAGCCAAGTGCCAGTGACTAACACCTGTAATCCTAGCTACTCAAGAGGCTGAGATCTGAAGATCATAGTTCAAAGCCAGCCTGGGTAGAAAAGTCCCCATGGGATTCTTATCTCCAATTAACCACTCAAAAACTGGAAGTGGTGCTGTGGCTCATGTGGTAGAGTGCTACTCTTGAGCACAAAGAGACTCAGGGATAGCACCCAGGCCTTGAGTTTCAAGTCCCACAACTAACCAAAAAAAAAAAAAAAAAAAAAAAAAAAAAAAAATATATATATATATATATACCTGACCTAAAAGACCATATGTACACTATGTACACTATGTTCATTCCCAAATTAATTCAGATTGCTCCAATTTTATAGCCTAACAGTCTCATGAATTTGAAGGATCAGCAACACTCTTCAATAAACTAGGATATTTGTTGTTGTTGATTGTCCTAGGGCTTTAACTCCGAGTCTGGGCACAGTCCTTTAGCTTTATTTGCCCAAGGCTGGAGCTCTACCACTTGAGTCATAGCTCTACTTCTGGCTTTTTTGCAGTGAATTGGAGAAAAGAGTCTCAAGGACTTTTCTGTGTGGGCTGGCTTTGAACCATGATCCTCAGATCTCAGCCTCCCAAGATAGGATTATAGACATGAACAACTAACACCCAAGGCTAACCTAAATTAAAAAAATTTTTTTTTAAATTAAAAAAACAACAACAAAAAAACCCTCCACCATTCTTCAATAACAATCAACCTCTTTCATTCCTTTTTTGTTTGAGTTTTTTTTGGGTCCAGTCGTGGGGCCTGAACTCTGGGCCTGGGCGCTGTCCCTAATCTCTTCAGCTCAAGGTTAGCACTCTACCACTTGAGGCATAGCACTACTTCTGGCTTTTTTTTTTTCTGCTTATGTAGTGCTGAGGAATCAAACCCAGGGCCTCATGTATGCAAGGCAAGCGCTCTACCACTGAGCCACCTTCCCAGCCCTCATTCCTTTTTTGTTATTCTGCTTCCGTACTCTGAATTGATAAGATTCCTTTTCTTCCCTCTCCAGATACCATTTCACAGATGGGTCCCTTTCTGTCATAGTAAGCCCAACCTAGGACTATACTTTGAATCCACTGCACGTGATCCAGATGTCTTGTCACTCTATTTTATATAATATCAAGTGACTGGTACAGTGTTCTACGTGTTAACAACTCACTTGAAATTGATACTTAACAGTTTTAAAGAAAACGCCAAATTAACTTTCCAAAGTTGCTGAGAATCGCTCGATCATTTGTATACTGAAGTTCAGAAAGCATATAATAACAATAATGTTTGTACAACAACAGTGATAAAAATGTACATGCATACAAATATCACTGTGGATTCTCCCCTGGCCCTCTTGTCCATTCTCTCAATTCCTACTATACCCAGCACACATTAATTACTGCTCCCCTTACCTGTACCCTCTGTCCTTGAGATTCCCTTTACCTCAGGCACTAAAACACTGGTCTTGAAGTTTGATTCTAAACATTTTCCCAGTTAACATGTCACTAGCTAAAAAAAAAAAAAACCTCAAATATCAAGTACCCTTCTCTGCCAAGGTCATCCAATACTGACTCCTAACCACCTCAAGTTTTCACTATGACCCTTGCTTTAGCCAAATTATGGTAGCCTACTAATTTGAAAAACAGAATAAAGCAGACATAGAGGAGAACCTAGAATACAAACCCTGATATTCCTCCTCTTCTGCCTCCACACAGTTACAGTGGCAGACTGCTTCACCACTTCGGAAGCCTTTCATCAGTAATGTAAAAAGCAAATTCAGCAAAACAGACATTACTCCAGGATATCAAGTTATACCTCTCCTCACTCTCAAAATTTCAAGGACTCAAGTGAAGACTGACAGTAACACATCAAGGAAATAAACTGACCATTTCTATTTCATAAATGACTTCCTAGTTTTAGACCTTCATATAGTAAGTTTAAAATAAAGGAATTTCAAGATACCTTCTTCATAGTCAAACAACAGGTGAGATCATGATATACCACAGGCACAAAGTCCTTTGAAAGGTGTACATCAAATTCCACAAAGGCCGCACCCTGGCAGAAGAAAGGAAACAAAAAAATTGAAAACCATAATCTAGTATACCATATAATTTTAAGAACATAAAACTAAGAATTGCATTAGTCGGAATAAGATTACTGATAAGTACACAAAATGTAAAAATGTTCTAATTAATACCATACTTTAAGCTTCTTCCCAAAAGGTAATATATTCTCTTAACGCAATTTTTTTTTGTCTTGCAAAGTACAATTTTTTCCTTCCCCTCAAGGAATTACTTCAAACACCCAGAGTACTGCTTGTGGTAGAAACAGGACCTAATAGGAGCTGGGAATACAGGGCTACTACTACATACCTTTGTTAAACAGCTCACCTCAGAGATGAGGTGAGGAAAAGAATACACTGAAAAAGCTCTGTTCCTGGGTCTATCTAAACAGTATATTTTAAACTTTTCTTAGCTGGGCGCTGGTGGCTCACGCCTGTAATTCTAGCTACTCAGGAGGCTGAGATCTGAGGATCACAGTTCAAAGCCAGCCTGGGTAAGAAAATCCATGAGACTCTTAACTCCAATAAACTACTCAAAAAACCCAGAAATAGTGTTGTGGCTCAAGTAGTAGAGCACTCACTTTGAACAAAGAAGCCAGGACAGCAGCCTGGCACGGAGTTCAAACCCCAGGACCAGTAAAAAACCAAAAAACAAAAGTTTTCTTAGAAAATATCAGTAATGAATAAATGGAGAGTGTGAATGAGGGTTACTATGGTTGAAATACTTGTTTGCATGTATGAAAATAGAATAATCAAACCTGATGAGATTATTTTAAGAAGGGGCAAAGAATCTACCCTGAACAACAGGAACCAGTATACATGGACACATGCATCTCCATGTTTATTGCAGCACTGTTCACAATAGCCAGGATATGGAAACAACCCAGATGTCACACCACAGATGAATGGATCCAAAAATTGTGGTTTCTATACACAATGGAATATTATGCAGCCATTAGAAAGGACAAAATAATGGCATTTGTAAGGAAATGGATGGAGCTAGAAGAAATTATGTTGAGCAAGGTAAGCCAAGAGCAATGAGACAAATGGCACATGGTCTGCCTGACAAGTGGATGTTAAATGTAAGGTGATACAACAAAATTAACAAGACTTAAAAAACAAAGGACTTCCACTCATCTGGTCGAATCACTACTAAATAACCACATACTGCTGGTCACATATATGGCATATATGTGCACACTGGAGGGAAACCAGGAGGATGACACAGAACTAGAGGGAATCAGAGAAAAACATACAACAGCGGGATCCATCAGCTGTACTGGACATTGATAAAAATGAACTAAGCAACTCAATGGCAGCGATGGGAGAGAGGGAACAAGTGGGAAAGAGGGAACAGCTGAAGCTATGCAAAACAAAAGAAATGTACCTATCACCCAATGTGGAAGAAATAACTTGTATTGTCAAAGCTCATAGAACTCATAAATGTTAAAGACCACAATAGACAATCTGCCCCATGAAAAGTTAAAATGTGTTTGTGATTTTAACTAAGCATTACTATCCCACAACACTGCAATTTGGGAAATTATGTAATCACTTAATCACAATAAAGAATTTGAAAACAAAAAGGAGTGGGGGCAAAGAGGTTAAGGAGAATGATAGAGAGGAAGAGGTTGACAGGACACATTGTATACATGTATGGAAATGTCACAGTGAAACTCCCATTGTACAACTAATACATACTAATAAATAGTGTCAGTACTAGATTAAAGCAGAAACTACAATTGCTGAACAGAAAGATACAATCAGGCAACACCAAACTCCCAGAGAGAGGCCTAAACAAATGAGGAGGACAAGAATATAATTTTAAAAGCAGCTCCATTCTGCCCTATGAATTAAGGTCTAAGAACACAAACTGACATATAAATGTCTATCTTCACTAAAACAAAGCCACCTGAAGGTTGAAGGTCATAGTCACTGACTATAACACACAGAAAGGCAATATAAGAAAGGGTATGTGTTGGGCTGGGAAGGTGGCTCAGTGGTAAAGTGCTTGCCTTGCATGCATGAGGCCCTGGGTTCAATTCCTCAGCATCACATAAGCAGAAAAAGCTGGACGTGGTGCTGTGGCTCAAGTGGTAGAGCGCTTGCCTTAAGCTGAAGTGCTGAGGGACAGAGCCCAGGCCCAGAGTTCAGGCCCCAAAACCGACCAAAAAAAAAGAAAAGAAAGAAAGAAAGGGTATGTGCAATTGACTCCTACAGTGTCTCTAAGTCATAAAAGATGTGCCCATTTTAGGATAGGAGCACACCATCAATCACAGATTAGAACCAAAGGAACTGAAGAGTTTGGCAGTAAAGTTTACTTCACTAAAACAAAACATAACAAAGCAAGAACAACAAAAACAGAAGGGGGAAGGGGAAGATATCAGTCTTAAGTGTAATATAAAATCACCATTGCTCTTCTAAGCAATACTGCCAAAGTGAATAAATGAATAAGCATATTCAGTTAGTAGAAGTCAGTGATAAGTACCAACGTTTACCCCTTTTCCAATAACAAATTTCTTTAACAAAGGATGGTTATAATTTTATGTTTAAAAACTAATGTTCAACAAGAATCTATAAACACAAATGTCAAGAGCTGTTTTGTCTTCACCTGGAAATATGTTAAGAAGAATTATAAATATTTCTCCTTTTCACCTAATAATGCAAACTGGGAGAGACTGCCTGGAGCCCCATTTATCTACTTTAACAATCCACAGTTCTTTTAACAAAGGTCACTTACATGACTAGCAGCATTTCTTAAAGAAGCAATTGTATTTTCTTGTACTTTAGCCAATCTGAAATTGAAAAACATAGTTATAACCAAAGAAAAGAAACAAATGTATAAGTGCCAACTACAATATTTAACAATGGAAGTAATAGTACCTATTCTTTATTTTGACACTAATTTGTAATTCTCAAAATATGACCATAACACTTGGCTGGTTTCTTTATTCCAGAAATGCAAACTAACAACTGTTCAGGGTTTCTAAGCTGAAAACAAGTATGTGATGCATTCCAACTCATATGGATTTATTTTCTTATAGACAAGATGAGTGATTAAGCAAAAACAATCCCCTTTAAGTATGAAGAATAGAGAAACAGAGACAAGGGCCAGTGGCTCACACCTGTAATCCTAGCTACTCAGGAGGCAGGAATCAGAGTCGTAGTTTGAAGCCAGCCAGGGAATAAAAGTCCCTAAGACTCTTATCTCCAATGAACTGGAAAAGGCCAGGTGTGCACATGCATGTGCATACACACATGCAAGAGAAATAGAAACTTAATTCTTGTAATGAAGCCTCTAGATAACTGAACACTGGCACACTGTGGGGAAGTGGAAAAGATGGATACACCAATAGGATGGAAATATGACAACTGCTTTGCCCTTCCTAGGTAGGCCCTTTACCATCTGAGCCACATACTAGACCTTTTGCTCTTGTTAGTCTTCAAACAGGGTCTTATTTGCTGCCTAAGGCAGCCTGAATCCTTGTGGAATAATTAACACATGCCACACATGCAGGAGCTACTGCACCCAACTAGAACAATAAAAATCTTATTAAGAACAAGGGAAAAAGCCAGGCACCAATGGTCATGCCTTTAAGCCTAGCTACTGAGGAGGCTGAGATCTGAGAATGGCAGTTCAAGGTGAGCCCAGGCAGGAAAGTCCGTGAAACTCTTATCTCCAATTAACTATCAGAAAACCAGAAATGGTGCTGTAGCTCAAGTGGTAGAACGCTCGCTTTGAGCTGAAGAGCTGAGGTACAGCACCCAGGCCCAGAGTTCAAGCCATGACTGACCAAAGAAAAAAAAAGAACAAGGGGAAGGAAAGAAAAAAACAACTTATTTAAATGGTAACTAAATTTATTTTATGGATTTTTTGCAATGCCCCCAAAAGCTATCATGATATAGCTCTAAAATAAAAAGAAGCCTATGTCAATAAGTTATAACAATATAATTTTTAAAACCTCACAAAAATAATTCACTAAAACAACAGATGGGACATCCTTCTGATGAGGACTAGGTTGAACTAATATTCCCTAAGCTTATTTACAGTTTCTTAGAATCATAGAAAAACATTAGGAACCAAACCCTTCCATTTTATAGATGAGGAAACAGTCTCAGTGAGGGCAAGATGCAAAAGCAAGAACACAGACACAAAGAAGCCACAAAAGCTTTCTTTCTTTTTTTTTTTTTGGGTCTGGTTGTGGGGCCTGAACTCTGGGCCTGGGCGCTGTCCCTCAGCTCTTCAGCTCAAGGCTAGCCCACTAACACTTGAGCCACAGCGCCACTTCCGGCTTTTTTCTTTTTGCTTATGTGGTGCTGAGGAATCGAACCCAGGGCCTCATGCATGCAAGGCAAGTGCTCTACCACTGAGCCACCTTCCCAGCCCCAGCCACAAAAGCTTTCTGCATCAAACTTTCCTTTCTGGCTTCCTACTTTTAATGATTTCACCTTACTAAAACAGCATAATTAAAAAAAAAGAATGACCAGAACCTTAAGACAGAGTTGGCCTGTACTTTGAAATGGTGATCCTTATCACCAAATTATATTTAATATACAAAGTAATAATAAAGGTATCAAGTAGATCAAGCTAATTAACCTAATCAAGCCTTAGTTACTGCATGATGACTCCATCTACTCAACCTACTGGGCAGTTGTTGTTGAATTCCCTGCACCCCGATGGCCAACATCCAGTGGTATTCTTGGCTTCCAATACTTGGAAAATGAAGATTTCATGTCACAATTGTATCCTGGCAATGGCTTAATGATGATAAAATCAACTTTCATAGAAAAAAAGAGAAAAAGAAAGAAATGATTTTAAAGGTGATTATAAACTCAGTAAAATTCTGGACATTTAAACCAGTTACATCTTCTATCATACAAAAGAAAAATCATATCAAAACTACAAAGGCTTCCAGAAAATTCAAGACAGGCTCCTATTTTAATCATTACTGTATTAGTAAATAATCTAAAGGCATGCTATTAATTTTTACTATTTTCAAATAATATAAGGCCAATGAAAATTTTAACTTAATCTTAGCTTATTTGCTTCTCCCAACTTACCTCTTACTTTGCCAATTGTTTTCCTGGAATTCCTGCTCATGATGGGAAGAGTAAGGATCCCAGCACTCCTACCACTCTCAGCGATGGTAGATGACAAAAGGCATGCTGTGCCCACATGTCCAGGAAGGGCATCACCTTGAACTACGGGCTCACTGAGATCTTCCTAAAAAAGTAGGTTTACAAGACTCAAATCTTAACCATGGTCAATGTAAGGATCAAGGATGTGTTTAAAGTCAACTCAGAATCTACGCAAAAGCACTACTGAAAAAGAAAAATACAACTAGAGGCTGAGAGAGGAGAATTGGGAATACAAGGCCAACTTGGACTTCATTGCACTCTGATCCTACTACTACTCAGCCTCCCAAAGAAAAATTCCTAACTGGTATTATACTAGTGCATTCAGGTAGTTTAGATTGCTTCTTGTTCTTTAAATAAGTGATATTTCCTTTTGGGAGCTATCTCTCTCACATAACTATTGGCTTGGCTTTGATGGGTTATTATACAACACAGTACTCTGCCCTTGCCTGGCCAGTCAGAGCCCTAAAGCCTCCTGGAATAGGAGGCACAGGCTTAAGACATACCCAGAGCCAAGTATTGGAAAGGCCAGGGCTGCAGGTACTTATGTGTGTTAAGACGCAGGCATGAGCTGCTGGCAGCCACTATGTTACCAGATAAAGCTGAAATGTAAGAGTAGTAGTCCAGGTAACATCACATGAGACCCTGGATCTGAAGCTTATTTGAATTTTGAGTTAATATATAACTGGTGGTTTAAATCAAAACATAATAATACTCAACTCTACAATACCATTCACTTGTATTTAGATTGCTTAGTAGACACTGACATTTAATCTTGATTTAAAACACCAATTGTACTGAAGTTCCCTTGGTTATATACTTTCATTTTGTTTTTATTTGTTTGCAGACTCAGAGTTCCATCTGGAGTCTGCAAATAAACAAAAAAACTTGGAAGGCTACCATTTGAGCCATGTCCCCATTCTATTTTATTCTTTGCTTTGTTTTTCATGTAGGATTTCATTGCTAATTTTGGCATATTCAGCCTTGAACCATGACCCTCCTGTTTCTATCAAATGAAAGGTTGAGATTCCAGGCATGCACCAGGTGCTCAGCCTCCATTCATCTCCTTGCAGCAGTAGCTCTGTTCTTTTTTTATTTTTTGGTCTGTCGTGGGCTTGAACTCTGAGCCTGGGCACTGCCCCTCAGCTCTTCAGCTCCAGGTGAGTGCTCTACCACTTGAGCCACAGTGCCACTTCCAGTTTTCTGGTGTTAATTGTAGATAAGATTTTCACAGACTTTCCTGCCTGGGCTGGCTTTGAACTGCAACACTCAGATCTCAGTTGTGAGCCACCAGCGCCTGGCTTAGCACTTTTCATAATAGTACTAACAACTCCAAGCTTTTTTTTTTTTTGGGTCCGGCCGTAGGGCCTGAACTCTGGGCCTGGGCGCTGTCCCTCAGCTCTTCAGCTCAAGGCTAGCGCTCTACCACTTGAGCCACAGCACCACTTCCAGCTTTTTTCTTTTTGCTTATGTGGTGCTGAGGAATCGCACCCAGGGCCTCGAGCATGCAAGGCAAGGCTCTACCACTGAGCCACCTTCCCAGCCCCAACTCCAAGCTTTTTTAAGTGGCAAAAATCCAAAATACTGTATGGATCATATTACACAAGTTAGACTAAAATAAAGCAAACTACACATGAAAATAAACTGTCTACATTGTCAAATTCCTCACTGAAATAAAGACTCACCTCAAAGAAATCAAAGATTAGTTCCAGGTTATCTGGTTCCATTGTTTGTATGCTGTATTCTGTCCAACGATCAGGCTGTAAACCATACCCACACTCTGGCTGTGAATGCCTGCACTTGAACTCATTGTCACTTATTAAGGATATCTCCAGACTATTAGACATTTTGTGATGAACAGTGGGAGATACCCTATCATCATCATCTTCCTCTGGACCCTCTAGTGTAAGCTTTACCCTACAAAACAAGGGAAAATAATAATGCGAAAGTGACATGGAGAAAAATTTAAGTGTTCCCCCAATATGCTTAATAACAAAATAATATGTGAATAAAGACTACACAAGCTATACAGGTTAAAGACAATTAGCGTGTTTAGGTTTACCTATATATAGAAATTTCAGCAAGATATTAAAATGAGATAGATATCTATTATACTTACTAAAATTAAAGGTTGTTTTAGTTCATCATTATTTTCAACAAGTTTCAAAGAGGTGTTTACTATTATCTCAATTGTAACTGCCTACTTCAGTTTCTTAGCCTTTAATAATAAATATTTTTAAGGAGTGTTGTGTGAGAAAGCACTGGGGTCTGAATTCAGGGTCCTGTCCCTTCTAAGCAAGAGCAATATCATTTGATACATGTCTGAAGCCTTTTTTGCTTTAGTTGGTTTTTAGCTAGCATCTTACACTTTTGCTTGGGGCTGAACTTTAGACCATAATCCTCTTACCTACACATCCAAGTGGCTGGTATTAATTACAATAGTTTACCACCAAACCCAGCTTATTGGGTGAAACAGAGGTCTTGCAGGCCTCAAACTACAGTCCTCCAGATCTCCATCTCCCTATATCAACCCAGAGCAGAAAAATCCTGAGCCAATCAAGATGTTACTCTAATAATAAAAAAATTACAGCTATCACGCAATTTACTTTCAAATACTTGAATTTTTGAAGTCAAATAGACTTCCCAGATCCAGTTTTTCAGAAGCTAAGGGCAAGGTATATACATGCCTAAATACTCTTATATCATAGCCAATGCTGTGAACTACCAACCACCTTTTCCGTCCCTCCCTATTCTTGGTATATGTATGAACTATAATATTTAAACAGTTACAGTAAAATGTTTGATTTGCAGACTATAATATCATAAAAAGAATGTATAATCATGTCTTTTTAGTTATTGAAAATGACTAAAATCATTCCTGCCATTTGGTCAGACAAGTTGTATATTCAGACTTCTAATAAACTACCTTAGTCTTTCAGAAGCTAGGTCACTCAAAAGTATGTACAATATTACATAGGAAAAAAGTTAAAGAGCTTTACATCTATTTGTGACACTAAGAGGCTTACCAACAACAACCAAAACATATCTGGAAAATTTTTCATTTTTTAACTCACCAATAACCAATTTTCTTGGTTATTCTTTGAAATTTTGAAGGGTATTTCTGTATGTCATTTTCTCGTCACTTAACACAAAATTCTGGGCAGAGGTGAGGGTATGATCGTGGGTTTGAACTGAGGGCTTTGCAGCTGCCAGGTAGATGTTCTACCACTTGGAACTATGTCCCCAGCCTCCATTTGTAAGTTTTAAAACAAACTGTTTACTACTTAACTAGGAGGTTTAAATGATAGCAACTATAAAAGTAACCTAGAAACTACACATCTTTATTAGAAAAAACTTTGTTTCTAAATGAGAGATTATCACTAAACCAAGTAGGCTGGAGGTACCATTAGGTGATAAAGCACCTGTCTAGTAAGTACAAAGCCCTGATTTCAAATCCCAGTACCAAAAAAAAAAAAGACTAAAACAAATATGTATAATAATAGTAATTTTTGGAAAAAATCACTATTACAGAAAAAAAGCCACTATTACAGAACCTGTAACTATTAGAAAATGACAGGTAGGTGTTATGTTTAGTTTATATACGTAAAGTCTAAAAACCAAATTGGTCAGAAATCTATAGCATTAGTAAAAATAAATGGCCTAAGTAACAAGCACACATTGTCATACCTAAATCTAGATTTTTTAAATATTTTCTTGGTTATTGAGACTGGAGGTTTTTCAGAGTAATGCAAACGTAATCTTATTTCAGTCTGACATGTCAGCCATCCAGAATCCAGAGTTTCAATACCATCTGGCAAGTAAATATAAAGAATGGTAATTATTATGCATGTTTTGGAAATAAAAATACACAGTGACAACTCAAGCTTATTCACATTTTAATACCCAAATTATATATAATCTTGACACTCCCTCCCTCAAGCAAATATAACAGCAGTCTTAAATTTGACATTGAACAAGAAAACTTTTATATAAATAGGAAAAAAGTTAAGTAACAACTGGACATGGTGGCTTACATATGTAATCATAGCCACTCAGGCAGTAAAGATCAGAAGGATCACAGTTTGAGGCCAGCTCAGGATTTGCAAAATCTACCTCAAACAACAGCTGGGCACAGTGGCACACCTGTCATCCCAGCTATGAAGGAAGTGTAAATAGGAAGATGGCGATCCACTACAGTCCAGGCATAAAAGAGAGATCCAGACCCTATCTCAAAAATAACCAAAGCAAAAATGGCTATGTAGCTCAGGTGGTAGAGCTTCTACCTAATAAGTAGAAGGCCATGAGTTTAAACTCTAGTGTTGTTAAAAAAAAAAACAAAAAACTAAACTAAATAAATACTAACAATTATGCTTGAACAACTTAAAATATCTTATTGTGGCCAGTTAGGATGATGGTACATGCTTATAATCCCTGAAACTGAAAATATGGAGACAGGAATGTTGCCCTTGGGAAGTTAGCCTACACAAAATTAATGTAAGTTCCTATTTGAAAACTAAAGGCAAAAGGATTGGGAGCATGGCTCATGTAGTAATAAGTGCTCCTGTAGGAAGTAGAAGGCCTTGAATTCAAACCCCAGAACTCCTCCTCCAAAAAAAAAAAAAAAAAAAAGAAATTTGAATCCTTTCTTGAATCCATGCAAATCTATTTCAGAAAGAGTCTATGTTCCAAGATGGATTCTAGAACCTAACAAATACCCCCACGCATTATATTTTCAAAGTACCCCATGAGATAGCCAGCTGAGAAATTTGTTATGCCATTATGGTTGAAGGTGAGAAATATGGGAAGGTAAAAATATAAAAGAATCAATTCTGTATTCTTACATTAACATTCTGCCAAAATCAAATGAAACAACAGTAATGACTATATCAGTACTGTTTAACTTGAAGCTTCCTATCAACACAGATAATACATTTTTCATGAATACTAGAGAAGCTATCAACTGTTTCGAACCTATGCTTTTTCATCAACAGGTCTTCAAAAGAAAATCGAGAAACTTTGCTCCCTAAGTGTTAAGTTCTGAACATTTAAATAATTATTACATTCCTTTCATCCTTTTTTTTTTGATAGAACTGGGGTTTGAACTCAGAACTCAGTACTCTGTCCTTCCTAGGCAAGTACTTAGTAACTGTCCATTTTCAAACAACTGTTTTTAAAAAAATGGAAAAGTCAGAGAAATAGCTTCCATCCTAAAAGGTAACTAAAGGTGAATTTAGGATTTCAGAGAGAGAAAAAGAAGTACATACTAACCCCCAAACAGTAAGTAACAATGGACATGACATGCATTAGAGCTAAAAAGAAAACCATTCCTCCAGAAAGCACTCCAAAACCACGAAGCATAAATATTGCTTTCATAAATAAGTGAGCAAGAACTTTTAAAAAATACTCAATTTATTCAAGTAGACCTTATTTTGATGTAACAGTTCAAAATGAAATCAAGGAAAAGTTTGGTGCCTTAAATACTGCCAAACCATGTATGTTACTGATATGTATAAGCATATGTACACAGTAAAATCACAACCAAACATTCAGGCCTTATTCCTTCCTGAGCTTGACAAGAAAGCAAATTGGTTATCAGCAATTTATCTGTGGTTCAGAGTTAGTATAAGCACATATTCCACCAACCCTCCCTTCACCTTTTGATTCCTAAGGTGTCTAAAATGAGAATGTAAGTTAGCATGGTAACCCTGGGGCACTAAGAATTTCAACTGCTGAAGAAAACATGAATTCTGAGAATTTGTCTGCCTAGTCTGGCTTCATACTCTTAATACTCACCTCCCAGCTTCCTTAAAAGAAGCTAGGATAATAGGCATGAGCCACAGCTAATTTTTAAAGACTTTGCCAGAATCATTTGAACATTTGGCTATACCATAAGTGCATAAACAATACAAAATGTAGGAATTTAGTCTAATGGTAATATTTCACCCTTTAAATGTTTAGAACCATTAATAAAGACAACTTTATTATAAAATATATAAAGTTGTTTTCAAAGACAACTATAAAATAGCCAAGTATATAACTTTTAAAACTCTCACATTGCACTTATTTATGGGAACAGTACATGTATAATAATTTAGTCCAGATAATTAGCATTTCTACATCCTTAAAAAAGCATAGTACTGAGTTGGGCACCAATGGCTCATGCCTTTAATCCTAGCTACTCAAGAGGCAAAGATCTAAAGATCATAGTTCAAAGCCAACGTGGACAGGAAAGTCAATGAGATTCTTATTTCTAGTTAATCAACAAAAAACCAGAAGTGATGCTGTAGCTCAAGTGGTCGAGTGTTAGCCCTGAGCATCACAGCTAAGGGGCTGCACTCGAGCCCTGAGTTTAAACTCCAGCACAAAAAGAAGAGAAAAGAAAACTCCTTTTGAATTATATAAACATACATCTAAACATCAAAAATAAATATTTAAAGCTTTAAGAATTACATTTTCAAAGCATAGTGTTACTTACTGTGAATTCCAAATTGTCCATCATCAATAATAATTTCACTTTCTAGAATTCAAGGAAAATAGGAACTCTAGTTAAAATTCATGAGGCAAAAATAATAAACAATCGAGAAATTACTCACTTTAAGGAATGTTCAAATATTAAATCTATAACTTTAAGCGGCTTAAGTGAATAAGCATATTTATTGTAGCCCTTACTGAAGAATTCCCATTTGAAGATGCTAGCAAGCAGTACAGTTTGCAATTTTTGGTGACTTTTCATAGTGTAAGGAAGAGAAAGAACTCCTCAGAGACATACTCTTGAGGCACTGGGAGGGACCATGTTTTACACCCACCAATGTTGAAGACTAACAAGCTGCTGGACAATGGTAACTCCATGCAAAGCTCTTGGCACAATTAAAATGCTTATTCTTTTGTAGTGCAATCCTGAACTTATCTAACATGTGATTGTCCTCACCCTCAACTACTCTTTATAGCTGGATAAAAGCTCTATAAACAAGATAAACTTACCTGTACACACAGAGCTGTGAGGAGCTAGCAATCAAAAAATAAGTGCTACCATATTCCCTTCTATCAGTTCAATTAAGTGAGAAAAGCTGCAAAGCCCCATCCCTAAGTAATACACTAATTAGCTTTCCTTCTAGTATTCTTTGCAGCTTAGTTTTAAACAAGACTGAAATGTCAAGATGTTTTCATAGTTGTTAATAAAGACTCTCTGGGATGGATTATATGAGGCTTTAAGTTTAACAGTTACATTTCTAAAAAATATAAATTTCATTCTAAAGAACAGAAATAAAATAATTCAAATTCTCACAATACAAGAATATATTTAACTACAATATACTTTACATTATAATTTCTTTTTTAAAAATGTTTAACATCTATTAAATTCCAACCTCAGGATGGGACTATTTTATTCTAAGTACACTCCCATAAAATTCTATGTATACTATAAAAATGCATTAAAACATATACAAAGAAAATCCAATAGAAGGTGGAATGAGACATTTGTTTCAATAAAATGTGTTGATACAGAGTAAAGCAGAAACTCCCACTGTTTCTAATCTAAGCTAGTAACTAGGCAAGTCAACTATTATTTTCAAATTTTAACTTAACCTAAGAACTAAAATATGTATTTTTCAGCACTGAGTCAATTTATAGATGAATACAAGTAGGGATTTAATGTATATAAATAAACTAAAAATTCTATTTTCAATCTGGAAGGGGAAATTCAAAAATATGACCAGGCACCAGTGGCTCACGCCTGTAAGCCTAGCTACTCAGGAGGCTGAGATCTGAGGGTAATGGTTCAAAGCCAGACCAGGCAGGAAAGAAAGTCTGAGACATATCTCCAATTAACCACCAAAAAACCCAGAAGTGGAGCTATGGCTCAAGAAGTAGAGAGCTAATCTTGAGCCAAAAAGCTCAGGACAGCACCCAAGCCCTGCATTCAAGCCCCAGGACCAACATACACACATATACTAACAAAAAAAGAAAAAAAAAGAAATTAAAGGAAAATTGCCATTTTTAAATACAAGCAAACTAAAAAAAAAACAAACACAAAAACAAAAAAAAAAAACTTCTTTAACTGTGAATGTGGAAGTGGACATGTGGCTCAAGAGATAGAGCACTAGTCTTGAGTGAAAACACTGGGGGGCAGTGCCCAGCCCCTGAGTTTAAGCCCCAGTATTGGCACCAAAATCAAAACATCAAAAAAAAGGTGTGAATTATAGCTAGCCAGGAAGGAGTTAAATGAATTAGGAAGAATGTCAAATAGAACAAGGAAATTTAAGTTTACTAGGTTTAAAATAAAAACAGTACTTAGGGAACTTAAAAAAAAAAAGTAAGATAATTTACTCTATTACTACCCAAAGCTAAATAGTAAGAGTTTTAGTTTAGGATTAATTATGTCCTCAAATGTTCTCTACATTTGAGAAGGAAATCAAAGCCATGAATGCTCAGTCAAGAAAGAATGTTATCTTATAATCTTTCTAACTACATCCACTGAAAATGAGTATTTCATTGTAAATTAATCTAACCCCCAAAATAAAAATAAGCAAGCATTTCTAAAAAGGTTTATAAAGAAAGGCAATTAAGAACTGTTTAGTTTTGAAAGTCAGATCCATGAAATGCAAGTGAAATTTGTAGTACTGGCAATGCATTGCCTTTAAACTTTAGAATAAAAATTTACTCAATCCCACTAAGCCACTGAGCAGCATTAGTAACTTTACGCATATGCCTCAAACAGATGCAGTTAATGCCCATACCTAAAGGGGTTATTGATCGTGGTTGTAGATGAGTCTCCCACTTGTGAACTATGACTTGACATGGACCACCGATAGTCTGCAATTTAAAAGTTAAATGTCTGCAATAATTTCTTGTATCTTATTTTCTACCCATGACTCCAATAGATGTTTGTAGCCTAAGTCTTATACTAAGTAATAGACCAAGAGATTTGACTTGCTAATTATTGATATTATAGGCCCCAAATCAGAAATGTACCCAAGTCATAAAACATGATGGAATTGCTGGAAGAAAATGTAAGTCAGTAAAGAAAAGTGAGATGAGCTGGCACACAAAAACTCTTAAACTCCATTGCAAATCTACCTACAATACTCAGTTTTTTCAGAGAAATGATAGCACTGAATGTACTTTGGCAAGTCAGCAGTCAAAGGGGTATTACCAGATAAAGTTGTACCCACTCTTTTTAAGAAAGTCTCTCCACACTTAGAACAAGCCTAACAAGTCTATAGTACTAGGAATAGCAGAAGCAAGCAAGTACTTGAAGATCAATGTCACAAATTACTTCAGAAATTAAAAGGCATTACAAAGGTTTTTTTTTTACTTAAGAATACTAAAGGGAAAATAAGAATAGTATCAGATTTCTTTTATCATAGTAAGGTTTTGAAGAGCACAGGAAATCCTAAAAGAAAGGATACCTGGATGCTAAACTTGAAGAACAAGTATGATTTAAAAAAAAAAAAAAAAAGGACCATCCAGTTTGAATCTTTGGCCTTTCAGTTTACAAATTCATACAGTGCGACATTTCCTAATGTTATCTTTCATTACCAAGTTTCCTTACTAAAAAAAAAAAGTTGTAGGTGTTGCTGACAACATAATTTTAAAACAAGAATTAACTGAACTACCTACCATAATTCTCTAAATATACTTAAAAGACTGCAGTCTAAAGGTGTTCTTTTACTTTTTTTTTGGTCCGGTCACGGGGCCTGAACTCTGGGCCTGGACGCTGTCCCTCAGCTCTTCAGCTCAAGGCTAGCGCTCTACCACTTGAGCCACAGAGCCACTTTCTCTTTTTTGCTTATGTGGTGCTGAGGAATAGAACCCAGGGCCTCATGCATGCAAGGCAAACGCTCTATCACTGAGCCGCCTTCCCAGCCCATGTGTTCTTTTACTTTGATTAAAGAAATTTGACCAAAGCAAAGTCCTTAAATACATAATTTAAGATACATTTTTAAATTGCTAACTTACAAGGTATTATAATTTCTTTACATGTTCTCTGGAGAAATTTAATAAAGAAAAGCACAAAGAAAAACTTTATACACACCTAAATATCCTGGAATATGTAAGCTTCTGTATAACTACAGCATATCTTTAGATGGCATCAATACTCTCATACATATTTCTGAATTTTAATATTAATTTCATAAGTATACTAGATGCTAACAAATATGTACACATCAGCCATGAGGCAAAATTCAATTCTATCACAACTTAAATTTTTCTTCAAAATTTCAAAGCTTTCTGAGGCTTAAATACAATAGCATTGGTATGCATTCAAATAATTTATTATGCCATACTAAATGAAACATCCTTTTCCTATACCTGAATACCTCCTTGTCTAGGGTTCACTTATAAATTGATTAGATTAAGTCAATTTTTTTTTTTGGGGGGGGGTCCGGTCACGGACCCTGAACTCTGGGCCTGGGCGCTGTCCCTCAGCTCTTCAGCTCAAGGCTAGAGCTCTACCACTTGAGCCACAGCGCCACTTCCGGCTTTCTTTTTGCTTATGTGGTGCTGAGGAATCGAACCCAGGGCCTTGAGCATGCAAGGCAAGCGCTCTACCACTGAGCCACCTTCCCAGCCCCAGATTAAGTCAATTTTTAAAAAGAAATATGTCAAATTTCTCATCTTAGAATATATTACCACTACCTTAAGAGAAGAGAATGTACATTTAATCTTAGATTTGCTAGATTTTTTTATAACTTCTTCCTTGACCTATTTTTTTTTTAACAAGAGGTTTTTGTTTTCTTCTTATCTTTTTGTCTTGTTTGTTCTTTTTTATTTTTATTTTTGCCAGTCATGAGGCCTGAACTCTGGGCCTGGGTGCTGTTCCTCAGCTCTTCAGCTCAAGGCTAGCGCTCTAACACTTGAGCCACAGCACCACTTCTGGCTTTTTCTGCTTATGTGGTGCTGAGGAATCGAACCCAGGGACTCATGCATGCAAGGCAAGCACTCTACCACTGAGCCACTTTCCCAGCCCCCCTTGACCTATTTTTTAAATGCTTTTTTAATAGCTAATTTTTCTAATCTTCAAAAGATGCAATGTATACAGAAAGTACAATGTTTCTCAGCAACACAGAATGAACTTATATCTTTTCTGTACCCCTCTCATACCTCTCAGGCACCCCTGAACCCAATCCTCTTCTTTAGAAGGATTTATAAAAAGTACTAAACAAAGGTGAGTTGATAAGGACCATGAACAGAAAATATTGACAGAAATTTTTCAAAAAGTAGGTGGAAAGGAGAGGATTTTGCTTTGTTTTAAATCAAGTTTCAGGGAAACTTCATAAAGAATTCACTGTACCATATATTATGTAAGACAGTCATATTTGATATAAACATTATAATAATTTCAAATCCCCACTCATATTTTAGTAATAAACCCACTATCTATATCATAAGATCACCTTGACTTGAATAGAGTGAGGAGCAGTCAAAGGACATGTCAACAGATGACTTGCAACTGTACATTAACATTCACACAACAAAACCAGGTTGGTTGGTATACAGAATACAAAAAAAAAAAAAAGAGAGGAAAAAAACTCTAGCTGTAAAATACACTGAAATTCCTAAATTATGATTATGATAATTTTATTAAACTTTAGAGGGCAACCTTAAAGTTTACTTTACTGAAGTTCTTTTAAAAACAAATTCAGTGCTGGGCACCAGTGGCTCATGCCTGTAATCCTAGCTACTCAGGAGGATGAGATCTGAGGATCACAGATCAAAGCCAGCCCAGGCAGGAAAGTCTGTGAGACTCTTATCTCTAATAAAACACCAGAAAACCAGAAGTGGCACTGTGGCTCAAGTGGTAGAGCACTCGCCTTGAGCTGAAGAGCTGAAGGAGAACGCCCAAGCCCACAACCAACAAAAAAAAAAAAAAAAGAAAAGGAAATTCAGTTATCTTGGTGATGACTCTAATACATGCACTGCTTTCTAGTATGCTAACTCATTCCCCTCAATCTTAGAATAATTATATTTTGTAAGAGGATGTGACAATTTTAAGCCTTTTGGAATATTAATCTTTGGAGAAATAACAATTCAAGAGAATAGAGAATATTCAACTAACAATACTGATAGGAATTATTTTACAATTTAACATATATAAAATCAGATGACTGAGGCAGGTGTGATGGTAGACATCTATAACCCTAGCACTCAGGAGGCAGAGACAAGAGGATTATAAGTTTGAGGCTGGCCTGAGCTACATTTTATGGCAAAACCTGTCTCCCTCTACTCCTGGGGGAGAAGAAAGTCAGATAACTAAAACTATTTTTAAACATGCAAACCAACAAAAAAAATTGTTTTTGCAAAAAAAAAACACAACTATTACTGTAATTAGTGATATTACATGTTAACCACTAATGGAAATAAAAGGTTATTCAATCTGAAGACCAGGGTTTTGCTTTTTAACACACTAGCAAGCAAAATTATCAGCAAGTATTATCAGTATTCACAGACAAACTTAAGACTTTTCAACTCATTGTCTTCTTTGAACAATTCTAAAAACAAACTGCATGTAAAAGGGACTAAGAAATTTTAAACTACAGGGCCAAATGTATGTATGTGTGTGTGTACTTGTGTGTGCATGTGTGTGTGCCTGCATGCCTGCCTGCCTATAAGAGGGCTTGAATTCAAGGCCTTGCATTCTAGCTTGGCTTTTGGCACTCCACCACTTGAATCACAACTCCACTTCTAGCTTTCTGATAGTTAACTGGAGGTAAAGACTCTCACAAAGCCAGGCACTGGTGGCTGAACCTGTAATTCTAACTACTGAGGAGGCTGAGCTCTGAGAATCATGGTTTAAATCATGGTGTACTGCCAGCCTGGGCAGTAAAGTCCATAGACTCTTATCTCCAATTAACCACCAGAAAACTGGAAGTGATGTTGTGACTCCAAGTGGTAGAGCTCTAACCTTGAGCAAAAAGAGCTTATGGATAATGCCCCAGCCCTGAATTCAAACATTATCATGTACCCGCTCTCCCCGCTCCCCCCTCCCCGCCTCAAAAAAAGTCTCAATCTTTTCTGCTCTATCTGGTTTCGAACCTCAATCCTCAGAATTCAACCTCCTGAGTAGCTAGGATTAGATGTGAACCATCAGCATCTGGCACCAGTGTTAATCATTTTTTCTATATGACCAAGAAAAATAATCACCTAGTCATGATTCAAAATAAAGGAAATTGAGTGGATATATATCACTAAGGTTTAAATTTCAAATTAACAACTGAAACCATTTAGCATCCAGGAAAACTTAGCTGTAGTAAGAAACCAAAATCATTCTTCAAAATGAAGAAAATGAAAATGAAAATTATCTGCCTCTACCAGATGATTTATTCTTTTGTTCAAAGGTTTAAAGGAAAACAAAGAAACATTATGCTCAAAATAAGAATTTGATTACAAATTATGAATCTAATTATGAATGAATGTTAGCACCACGAATAAATCAGATATATTACTGAAAATTAAAGGTCTATTTTCACAAAAATCAAGAAATTTTTCAAAAAATGTAACTAATAATTACCTAACATTTCATTATGAAAAGCATTTCTACTTCCAACCACAAGGTAGACATTATTGAAAATGCATAAATGATTTTTAAAAAGTTCAAATAATTCTTCTTTTTTTAATTTTTTTTGGGGTCTGGTCATGGGGCCTGAACTCTGGGCCTGGGTGCTGTCCCTCAGCTCTTCAGCTCAAGGCTAGCGCTCTACCATTTGAGCCCCAGCACCACTTCCAGCTTTTTGCTTTTTGCTTATGTGGTGCTGAGGAATCGAACCTAGGGCCTCAGGCATGCAAGGCAAGCACTCTACCACTGAGCCACCTTCCCAGCCCAAGTTCAAATAATTCTAAAAGCGTCTTTGATGTGATATTAATGAACTCAGACTATCTATACACTAATTCTAATATTTTTATTCTAGCAATATATACTACCTTATTTTTTGCTATGTTTAAATAAGTTAATAGTATGTCTTGTCTCCTGTAAAAGTTATTATTATTGTTACTGTTGGTGTTGTTTTGTTCTGACAGTATTGCTAGGTAGTCCAGACTATCACTGAGCTAATGATTGTCTTGTCTTAGCCTCCTCAGTACTAGGATTTTAAGTGTGCATCATCTGCCTTTCCCTTCCACTGCCTGCCCCTCCACATCCCCCACTTCTCCAGCAACATTGAAGATCAAACCCAGGACTGTGCACACACTAGGCAAGCACTCTGCCAACCCTTAAGCTATATCTTCAGGCCTAAAATTACTTTAAAACTCAGAATATTACTAATGCTTTACTTAAATTTCGCAAAGAGAAAAGAGTTGTTACCTACCAAGCATAAGCCTAAATTCAATTTCCTGTACCACTCCAAAAGAAACAAAAAACCATGAGGAAAAACTGAGAAAGGATTTCAGGATTTAACTAAAAAGAATATGCCAGAAAAAGCCAAGCAGTAGGAGAAAAAATATAAATGGTAGAATATCATTTGCTCATGATAAAAATTTTAGTAATGAAAGAGCCCTAATATAGTTTAAGTTCCTTATAGATGAAGAAATTGAAATCTTAATGATAATGTAACTTGCCCAAAATATAATCACAAGATATTTAGTATAGATTTCTAAAAATCCTGCTTAGGCTACCTCCTCAAACCTTTGAATTAATAAAATTCTTACCTCCTGTTAAGGATTTTAGTGCCTCTGTCATTACTTTGCTTCCCTCTCACTTTAACATACTCCATGAATTCCTATCATTTTGTGATTTAAGATTATTTGTACATTATTTCTATCAATTAACAATGCATAACTGAAACAAAGTTTCATAATGTTCCTAATAAAAATGTTTCATTTTAAAAAGGACCACCAACTTTTAGATGATAAGTGTCATTCTAAGCTGGGATGTGGAAAACTCGAGCCATATGCATGAGCTTTTTAGCTATTTACTCTATTCCATGAAAAACATACTTACCGTAGCAGCCCCTGCATCACACGGTACATGTGTACACGATACAGAGCAAGCACCTACTTAAAGAAACACACTCACCAACACATACTGTAAACTTTTGCAAGTATTACAAGCGGAAAAACTTGTTTACTACTAGGCAGACTTCTTGCCAATTTTTCCAAAAGGCATTTTAGACTGATTTGCTGCTTTTGGTTACATTTTCAATGAAGAGGAAAAATACTACAGGTTTGGCTTAATTTGACCTATGTTGACAATAGTCTTACTTAACTGTGCTGAAAGGACCCATAATTTTTCTTGCCCAAATTCCCCTTCCTATGTAAGATTTGGTGGATTTTAACAATACAGAAGTTTCATAAACCAGAATTCTCAATCTTTCAGTGCCACGAGTGTTATGACCAATGTGTGTATATACACACAATTCTTCCATTGACACTGATCTTTAACAAGTTATATAACCCCTGTGCCAAATAATTTTAGATGCTACTTTCTTAGGTTGTTAAAGTAAGACTAATGTCAAGATAAGCCAACATGATGATCAACTATAATGTAATTTAAGTTCATTTATTGAGTTTTTACAAAATATTCTTGAAATAAAAAGTAATAGGTGCAAAAGACAGCTGAAGTAGGTTTGTCAGTTTTTTTTTCTTTTTTCTTTTATAACGGTTGCTAAGAGAAGGAGGTAACTAAAAGTGGCTGCTTACATTTTTCACAAATAACAAAAGTATTCTAGGACTCCCAAGGGAAATACATCTTTTACAAAGATCTAATTCATGTTTCATTTCCTAAAGCTCTGCCTAAATCTTTAGTCATATGCAGCCCAAGTGTGCCAAATGTAAAAATCTGAAGGAAAAGAACCCATTCAGCATATAAATTATCTGTAGATTAAGAGGAAAAAAATCAACTTTTTTTTTCCTTTACCAAAAATGGAAAAAATACCAAAATAGTAAGTTGCTGTGAGCAGGGAGACTTTAGAAAAGATCCTGGTCAATCAAAACCATGTATTAAAAACTCTAAAAGAAATCATTTCATTAGTTTATTTGTGATAGGAATTAAGCAGTAGTCACTAAATTCTTGGCTGCTACAAAATTAATTTTTAAAAACTCATTTAAAGCTGGATATAAACTTATAATGTACTTACACCACATAGGATTAAAAGCAATTTTGTGTTTTAAAAGATATTGCAGAACATACTTACTATCAGTCTTTAGAAAACTTTACGGCAGATATATTTTTGCCTCTGAAGTAGCTACTTACTTGGTTTTGTTACTAAAATATTGAGAGTTCTTTTCCTTACTTGACCAAAAGATATTCATTTAATTTTATGTTTTCAAATTTAAGTTGGTTGCTTTTGAAAGTACTAAGAAAATTGGAATCTAGATAAAGACAACATACCTTTGGTTCTAAAAAGCACCCTTTGAAGTAGCGATACTGAACTGATACTCCTCTATTGAGTTCAACAGATGCTTTCCATAACATGCTGTTAGGGAGGAAAAGCCAAAAGCAATAGCATCAGTACAAAACTAACGTGTATAAAGACTTCACAATTCATAACTTCCCAAATAAAGTCTGTGACCAACCACTCACATTTTCCTATCATAATGTTACTTCAGGCTTACTCTACAATAGGCAGTAGGAAGGAGGATAGGAAGGAGTAGGAATGAGCCTCATGTTTACATACTCTCTCTTCCATGTGGGCAGACAAATATGCAAGCATGATACCTTGCAAGTTCTGGAAGAGGTGTTGGAGCCCAGAACTGAGTGAGGAAGAACTGTCTGAGCTGAGACCTAAATGATGAAGAGGAACCAGCTATACATAGAGCTACACAAAGTAATCCAAATACTGCAAAGGTAGAGGCCTATGTCAGAATCTTCCAGACTTCCCACCCTGTTAGGAAGTTACATGGTTACTAAAAGGCTTTTGGGAACAAGGCCTCTAGGTCACAAATAAGGAGTGAACACTGAGGGCAAGTTACACTCTGATGCCTCTATTCTTTAACAGTGTTGCTCAGATGCTGGCTATTCTCCCAGCCAACCAATCAGTATCTGTAACTTTTTTCAATTCAATGTCTTCTCTGACATAGAGTAACTATGCTATTCTAATAGAAACAAATGCTTTGGTTCAACAGCTTGCATCAAGGTGAAAAAAATGCACTAAAATCATGCTTTTAATTGATTTTTAATTTCAAAAGATAGGACAATGATATTCAAAGTATGGTCTTGAGATCACCAGTATCATGTTGAAAATTCAGGTTTTCCAAAGGTGCACAAATACAGCAGTGGTCCTCACAAGATACTATATTGAAAATGAACTATACAACTTGTTGGGGGAGACAGCAGGAAAGAACTAGCAGAGAGTGAGGAAAATGGTGGCACTGTCCAAAAAGAAATGTACTCATTATTTGACTAAGAAAATGCAGATGCTCAGGATCCACCTAGTCCTACCTGTTTAGAAACCCTGAAGGTTTCTGGGTGTTGGTGGCTCACACCTGTAATTCTAGCTGAGGCCTGAGATCTGAGGATCACAGTTCAAAGCTAGCCCAGGCAAAAAAAAAAAGTGTGTGAGACTCTTATCTCTCAGAAAAAGTCAGAAGTGGCACTGTGGTTCAAGTGGCACTGAGGTTCAACACTAGCCTTGAGCAAAAGCTCAGAGACAGTTCCTATTCCCTGAGTTCAAACCCCACGAACACAAAAAAAAAAAAAAAAGAAAGGAAACTCAGGGGTTATAGGCTCAAGTTGTACAAATTTAAACAAGCCTCTTGTGGACTGATGAGCACTTAAGTTTAAGAGTCATAGTCACAGACCATTACCTAATCATTACTTCAGCATGAGTAGTTCAGCAAAAAACCAGAAGCTCCAAATACTTTTTTATGGTACCAGATAGTTAACACTACTTCTTACTTGACTCTGCCAAAACATATTCACTCTGATTCAATCCTGGGTCCTAAAAAATATCTACAACCAGATGTCAGCCATGATGGTAGCTTCAGATGAATCTGTCAATATTAACATATGTATGGTCCAAGGTCTATCTTTTGGAGATGGTTTTCATGGCCTCAAGTGGTACCTAGTCATATACAGTTTGATAGAACTTCACAGCTTGTTAACAGGCATATGATTGGTTACAATTCACTGACAGAAGTCAGGGACAGCAAATTCCTACCACATGTTCCTATTTTTTATAAACCTCAGAATCATTTTTCAAATAGGACTCTAGACTCATACTCATTTCTGCTAAAAATAGTAAAAAGTTAATAAATAAGAAATCTGGGAATGTGGCTCATTGGTAAGGTGCTTGCTTAGCATGTATGAAGCTCTACGTTCAGTTCCTCAGCACCACATACACAGAAAAGGCCAGAAGTGATACTGTGGCTCAAGTGGTAGTGCTAGACTTCAGTAAAAGAAGTTCAGGGACAGTGCCCAGGCAGTTCAGGGACAGTGCCCAGGCATGAGTTCAAGCCCCAGGACTGGCAAAAAAAAAAACGAAAGGAAGGAAGGAAGGAAGGAAGTAAATTCAAGCTGGACACCAGTGGCTCACACCTGTAATCCTAGCTACTCAGGAGGCTGAGATCTGAGGATGGAAGTTCAAAGTCAGCCCGGGTAGGAAAGGCCGTGAGACTCTCTATTTCCAATAAATGACCAGAAAACCAATGTGGCAATGTGGCTCAAATGGTAGAGTGCTAACCTTGAGTTGAAGAGCTGAGGGACAGGACAGTGCCCAGGCCTAGAGTTCAAGTCTCATGACCGACAAAAAAATAACAATAAAAATCCAGTACTATGTCATCCACAAAGTCATCCAGAGTATGCAAAACTAGAACTAAAGGTGCGCAGAATTAGTTGGGGTGGGGGGGAGAGGGGGAATTTCTCTCTTCACTCACTAAAGCAGAATCTAGGCATATGGGATTTGGGTTGGTCATTTGTTTGTCTAGTTATTATGGTACTGAGGATTGAAACCAGAGCTTCACACTAGCTAGGGAAAAATGCTCTGCCACTTGAGCCATATTCCCAATATTTTTTCAAAGTTCTAATGTGTTCCCCTCAATAATAATCACAAAAGAGATGAAAAATGCACAGAAGTATTTATACGCAACTTCTCTAAGGAAGTATAGCAAAGAATGAACAGTTCTTAAGCTAATAAAAATGGAATGGGAAGAAAAAAAAAGAGCTGTCAAAAAAGAAATGGACAAGAACTTCAGTGAATTCAGGGCTAAACATAATCTGATCAAATCTCCCCACCCCAAAAGGAAAAAACAGGAAAGACAGGTAGTGAGGTGCCTGAGTGCAGCTGCCTGATACTGAATTACACCCAAACTACCAAAAGATATACAAAGAGAGCAAATAAACCACAAATGATCCATATCCTCAGCCTCATTAGGAAACAATACAACTCTTCCATCTGTAAGCAAGAAAATTCCAATAGAGCAGTAGCTACACCACAAGGAGAGCTGGTAGGGGGCTGAGAAAGGCTTTGAACAAGACAAGTACAGGTAGAATACATAAAACCTCAATCACGATTTTAAAACATACAAGGATGTTGTTTACAAGAAAACTTTCTCTTGAAGAATGCTTGCTTTCTCCATATGAAGTACTATTTATCTGTAGAATGAGGTTTTATTTCAGATAGGAGTGCATTGTATGAAAATCAGGGTATAAAAGTTGTTTGAGAGGGGCTGGGAAGGTGGCTCAGTGGTAAAGCGCTTGCCTTGCATGCCTGAGGCCCTGGGTTCGATTCCCCAGCACCACATAAGCAAAAGAAAAAAGCCGGAAGTGGCGCTATGGCTCAAGTGGTAGAGCGCTAGCCTTGAGCTGAAGAGCTGAGGGACAGCATTCAGGCCCCAGAGTTCAGGTCCCACGACCTGACCCCTCTCCCCACCAAAAAAAAAAAAAAGTTGTTTGAGAGGAATGTTATAGATGTTATCTCACTATGACAGTCTAGGAAATATATGTATATAAAATACATGTGCATATATTTTACCAATAGGCACTGGTGATTCACATTTATAATCCTAGCTACTCAGGAGGCTGAGAACAATGGTTTGGAGCCAGCTTAGACAACAAACCTAAGACTAATTACCCAGTAAAAAGCCAAAACTGGAAGCATGGCTCAAGTAGTTGAGCATGAGCTGTGAGCATAAGGCTCTGAGTTCATCTCCAGTACAGTTGAAGACTAGCAAAGTAATAACATCCTATTGTCAAGTTTTCACATCACTGAGAAGTGAAGTGTATGTTTTCTTTCCCTTAGCTGACATTATGGCATGGATTCATGTTCCTCTGTTGTTTTCCTTGGCATTGCTATCAGTACTTCTCAAACTATCTGCTATCAAAGACTGGGTTGATGGCTCGGTTGCTTTATCCATGACATCTGACAACCAATAATTCTGGTCTACATATGCAATAAAGTAGTGCAATGATGATATATATATATATATGGATGCTCTGTCAATGTCCAATTGCTATCAACACTACTAAATGCTTGCTCCCAAATTTTTATTTCTCTTATCACTAACTTACAGGTTTTTGGAGAACAGCACTGGCCCATAAGTCACAGTTCTGAAGCATTCCTCTACAAGAAAACTTCCTTTGAAATCACCTAACCTGGTAGGGTCATCTAAGTAACTGAATTGGTACATTGTTTAGGGTAGTAATATGTAGGATAATCACTATATTTAGGACAATCACTCCCAGGTAGGTGTGTGTGTGTGTGTGTATGTGTGTGTGTGTGTGTTTAAGTGCTACCTCTGTTGGCATCTACTGATAGTCCTAGGGGTGGGTGTGTGTGTGTGTGTGTGTGTGTGTGTGTGTGTGTGTGTGTGTGTGTGTGTGTGTGTGTGTGTGTGTGTGTGTGTGTGTGTGTGTGTGTGTGTGTGTGTGTGTGTGTGTGTGTGTGTGTGTGTGTGTGTGTGTGTGTGTGTGTGGTTAAGTGCTACCTCTGTTGGCATCTACTGATAGTATCCTAACCTTTTCAATTGTAGATGAACTGGCTGAGTCATTAGATCTGCCCCAGATTACACCTAGCTCTTCCCTTCCGTAGTCCACAGCAACTGTACTAAGTTTACTACTGAACTTAGAGTGCTGATGGTGAATGCTTTTCCTGAAGTTAGCTATATCTGAGGATGTATGTATTCTACTCTCTGCCCTTTTTATTAATAACATACATTTCAAGAAAATATCATAGGTGAAAATAATTTTTTCAAAACTATCTACTGAAGGCCAGGGATATATTGTTGAGTAGATGCTTACTCAACATGTGTGAGACCGCTGGCTCCATCCCCAGAAACATCTAAAAAAAAAAAAATCCCAGAATAAAAAAAGAAAAAAAAAAAGATTCTTAAAAGCCCAAAGATAACGTATAACTTTTCAGTATGAAGATGACCTACACCTGCTACTACTTAGTACCAAAAAAAAAAAAAAAAAAAGGCAAAAGTTTTTAGTATTTGAGAAATGGTGATTGAGAAACAAAGGAATTTGTGGGGTTTTTTTTTCACACACACATTAACTTTGGTAAAAATTAAAGTAGGGTTGGAGATGTGGCTCAAATGGTAAAGCATGAGATTCTGAGTTTTGTAGTACTCCACTACAACAAAAGAAAAATAAATAAAATAAACTAAAATGCAGTGGTACTCACTAGACACAATGTTGAAAATGAACTATACAACTTGTGAAGGAATGGGAAGGAAAAACTGGGAGAGATGAGAAGGGGTAACATTGTCCAAAAAGAAATGTACTCATTATCAGACTTGTATAACTGCAAACCTTCTGTATATCATCTTTATAAAAACAACAAGAAGGGGCTGGGAAGGTGGCTCAGTGGTAGAGCGCTTGCCTTGCAAGCCTGAGGCCCTGGGTTCGATTCCTCAGCACCACATAAGCAAAAAGAAAAAAAGCCAGAAGTGGCGCTGTGGCTCAAGTGGTAGAGCGCTAGCCTTGAGCTGAAGAGCTGAGGGACAGCACCCAGACCCAGAGTTCAGGCCCCACGACCGGACCCAAAAAAAAAAAAAAACAAGAAAGTAATTTTTTTTAATTAAACTAAAAGAATAACTATACCTGGGCACTGGTAGCTCATGCCTATAATCCTAGCAACTCAGGAGGCTGAAATCTGAAGCTTGCAGTTTAAAGCCAGCCTGGGCAGGAAAATCTGTGACTCTTATCTCCAATTAAGCACCAAAATAAAGCTGGAAATGGAATTGTGGCTCAAGAGGTAGAGCTCTAGCCTGAAGCTCAAGTGTCCCAGGGGCCCTGAATTTAAGCCCCAGGAGCAGCACAAAAGAATGCTTATACTACAGCACTTTGACAGTTCATGACAAAAATATGAAAAACTTCACTCCTAAACCACCTTTCAGCTTACCTTTCAGCTGTCTCATCCTCTGGAAGAAGAGTCACAGCATTTTGAGGATTCCAGTTTCCCAAGGCATCACAGCTTCCACATATGGCAAAAACTTCTCCTAAAGAAAAGCCTTATCAGTTGTTTCCTACTCACACTTCAGTTTCAGAAAGCAATAAAAAAAAACAGTCAGTTGCAATAGTTCAACTGACTTTGGAATCTCATTGAAGAGGGGAAGAGACTGATGGTGATCTGGGGCTGACCAAGGGATCACACTAGCACCTGCCTAGTAACTTGCCTGACCTCATCAAACTCAAAGCCAGAAGGAGGAAGGCCAGATAGGAACTTTTTTTCTTCATTTCTTCAACTACCTATTGAGCTCTCAGGAAACAGAATGACCAGGCCACAGCCTCTTCAAGCAGTTTTCAGTGTAAAGCAGCAACCATTCATTAAATGCATGAAAGTAGTCAAGCAAAAAAACAGTATTTTGGGCTGGGAAGGTGGCTCAGTGGTAGAGCGCTTGCCTTGCATGTCTGAGGCCCTGGCTTCGATTCCTTAGCACCACATAAGCAAAAAGAAAAAAGCCAGAAGTGGCTCTGTGGCTCAAGTGGTAGAGGGCTAGCCTTGAGCTGAAGAGCTGAGGGACAGTGCCCAGGCCCAGAGTTCAGGCCCCACAACCGGACCCCCTCCCCCCGCCAAAAAAACAAACAAAAACAACAGTATTTTCCAAAAATTCAAATAGTAACTATAAAGCTAAAGTAACATTATCATTAGGATAGTACTAATAGTACTGATCCTAGGGTTTGAACTCAGGGCCTGGGTGCTGTCTCTGAGTTGAGCCTTTTTGCTCAAAGATAGCACTCTACTACTTAAGCCACAGCTTCTCTTCAGCATGGAGATAAGAATCTCAAGGATTCTCTTGCCTGGAATGGCTCTGAACATCTATCTTCACATCTTTACAGGTGTGAGCCACTTGAGCCCAGTTAACAATGCAATTTTTATACCCTAAAACAACTCATGAGAAACCTAGCACTCCTTACTAAAATGGCTTATCATTCCACCTGAACATTTTTCACCAATAAAACCACCTTTACTTGCTAAATTTTCTGTACTCTGAAGGTCTTGACACATATCACCACATTCTGAACTAATATAATTAAAATACACAAAGTACATGACAATGAAATTGAGTGCAAATTCTAATTTGGCTCAAGATGCATTTCTACTTTTCGCTCTGAAAAACATCCCAAATGGACAGTATGAAACTTGCATCAGAGGTGTGCTTTCTGCATCTTAACAACATCCTGGTAAATGGCTTTCTTGCTGCTTCCCTATGAACAGGACTTCTGAAAAAAAGAGTCTTTTTACTAGAACAGACCTGTCTTTAATTAGCCCTAGTTTATAAGACTATAAGGACTTGAAGGCTAACTAAAGAACACATTCTTGTCACTAAAAATGAGGATCTAGAAGAGTGTACCAACCTATCTTGGTTAAGAATGTGAACTTGGCCAAAAAAAAAAAAAAATGCGAACTTGGACAGACAGGGACACAGATATACAGACTCTCCCTTCATCCCCTCTGGCAATTGCTTTAATGGGGAGCTAGGCATGGTGGCATACACATGTAATCACATCACTATGGAGGTTAGGCAAGTGGTTATAAGTTCAAGGCCAGCCTGTGCTATATAATTGGGACTATCTCACCATTACCAACCCCTCCTCCTGCAAAAACTGAAACAAAACAAATAAAAACTTCTGTGATGGTCACTAGAACAAAAATATTATATATAGAAAGAGGCATTTATTCTTTGAACATGTTTACCACATTCCTTGTTTGTGTCTATCACTGTGCTAGGCTCATAAATTATAAAGATAAGGCCCTGACTTAGCTACCTGTAATTCTTGCTACTCAGGTGGTCAAGATCTGTTTTCATAAAATCCTATCCACATATTAAATCATTCAAGTAATCCTATAAAATCTCTACAAGATATTAGAAAATAGAAACCCTGAACATTTTAGAGACCCTTACCTTGTAGAATGTGGGAGTTAGGGGAGAAAGTGGGCACAGATATAAGCAGATGCAAACAGAACTGGAGAAACTGCTCCAAAAGAAAGAAGGAAGGAATGGGAAACTAAATGTGCCCCACTATAGCCAGAGTTTATTTCACAAGGTCATATATAACCCATTTTAATGTTATATTACACTAAAATTAGTTCACAGTGCTTCAAAAGGTAACATAAAAAAAGCAGTGAGACTAAAAAAAAAATTCACAAGTAGTGAATGGTTATATTAGTCAAATATTTCACCAACATCTTGAACTAACTCAGTTTCCCTCATTTTTTTCTGGGCAAAATCAAATAGATTTATTACAAAGCAATAGAATATTGTTTGAGATTCCTTTTGCCCTCATGTTTACTATATTTTAAGCATATTCCTGATAGATGAGACCTAAAGATATTCACATATAAAATTTATTTATGTATTTATTTATTAACTTATTTATTCTTTGTCAGTCCTGAGGCTTGACCTCAGGGCTTGGGCACTGACCCTGAGCTGCTTTTGCTCAAGGCTAGCACTCTACCACTTGAGCCACAGCTTCATTTCTGGCTTTTTCTGTTTATGTAGAAATAGAACCCAGGGCTTCATACATGCTAGGTAAGCACTCTCTACCACTGAGCCACATTCCCAGCTCCTCTCATCTAAAATTTAAACCCATTCTAATATAAATATTTGATATTTAAAATAGCCCAGATAAGAAAAATATACAATTTTAAAAATTGTTTTAAAGTAAAGCTTTACAATACCTGGTAAAAGAGTTCCTCTTATTTCAAAGGTAACCTGAGAAGGTGTCATTCTGATGGATTTACTTTACAATTCTTGCTAGGAAGAAAAAGAAAAATTTGTCATTCATAGGACATGAAAATACTAACATTAAGCTGGGCACCGGTGGCTCATGCCTATAATTCTAGCTACTCAGGAGGCTGAGATCTGAGGATCACGGCTCAAAGCTAGCCTGGACAGGAAAGTTCAGGAAAGTCCATGAGACTCTTATCCCCAATTAACCACCAGAAAAACCAGAAGTGGCGCTGTGGCTCAAGTAGTAGAGTGCTAGCCTTGAGTTTAAGAGCACTAGCCTTGAGCTGAAGAGCTCAGGGATAGCAGATAGCACCTAGGCCCAGCGTTCAAGCCCCACAACTGACAAAAGGAAAAAAGAAAAGAAAATACATTAGATTGTTACAATCAAAAAACAAATGAAATGCAGGCATGGTACTCAATAGACACTACATGGAAAATAAACTATGAAACCTGTAGGCAGGAACAGGAGGGGGAAACTAGGTGAAAGCAAAGGAAAGGGTGACATTGTCCAAAAAGAAATATGCTTATTACCTATTAATTAAAAATATTGCTTATTACTTAATTGTAACCTTTCTGTATATCACCTTTATAATAACAATTTTAAAAAAGAAAAAGAAAATGTTGAAGAGGGAAAATTGTTTGAAAAGCAGAACACAGAATTTGAGAAACTGCTCAAAACAAGAAAGAAGGAAAGAATGGGAAACAAATGTGGTCCACTACAGCCAGAGTTTATTTTACAAGATAAAACATAACCTAGGTGTAGTTGTTTTAAGGTTATATTACACTAAAATTATTCCACAGTGTTTCAAAAGATAACCCAAAAAACAATGAGATTTAAAAAAATTCACAGGTAGTGAACAGTTATATTAGCCAAATATTTCACCAACTTCTTGAGTTAGCACAGTTTCCCTCATTTTTTTCTGGGCAAAATCAAACAGACAAAATGAAAATGACTTAACTATGAGGAAAAGACTCATTTCAAGATCCTTCTATGTAAACTGACCATATACCCAAAAGGCATACAGAAACACTTAAGGCTTTAAGTTGCAGACCTGTTCACTAGAAGTATATGAACCAGAAATACTGCAAAACAGTGAAGTGTCTACAGTTTTTTATTTAAATTTTAAGGAGATAAGATTCTCTAGCCACACACTTTTCTCTTCTGATAAGCAGCTGCTCTGAATTCAACCTATCTTTTCTGGGCAGGCTGATGTTATGATGATGTACAAACAACAACAAAAAACAGAAAAAAAAATGCTTGATTCAAAAGATTTCTACTTTAATTAGTATAGTATTTTAACACAAGGAAACAATCACTGAAACAAATTAGATATTTTTTTCAAGTTTAAGAATCTGTTTCTAGGCCAAGTACTGATGGTTCACGCCTGTAATCCTAGCTACTCAGGAAGCTGAGATCTGAGGATCAAGGGTTGAAGCCAGCCTAGGTAGAAAAGTCCCCAGAGACGTCAGTAAACTACTTAATAAACTATTCAAAAAAGCCAGAAGTGGCACTGTAGCTCAAGTGGTAGAGCACTAGCTTTGAGCACAAAGAGGCTTGGCATCCAGGTCCTGAGTTCAAGACCAAGGACCAGCACCCCCCTTCAAAAAAAAAAGGCTCTAATTCTAACACAGTGTAATGAAGCATACACACAACTACCCCCCCCAACCCTTGCCAAAAAAAAAAAAAAATCCTCTCAGATTTTCTCTTCATAGAGCCATCATTAAAGTTCTGCACATTTCAAAGCACAATGTTACCAAATTTTACTGGTTCTAATTGATCTTGCAGGCTTGCTTGCCATTCTTCCCAGTTATCAAGTTCATTTAGTCATCTATCTGGATATAACTATAACCTGGATATACTATAATCCTAATTTAAGCTTCCAAATCTCTTTCCAATATTTTGTTAGTGAGAGTATTTCTCCTTACATTGTGACTTGGAAAAACTGGTTATTTACAGAAGTTGAAACTCCTAAGTTTTAGTTTAGAATTTACGCTTTAACTCCTTTACTGTTTTATCTATTTTCCTCTCTGCTAATGTTTTTCTTTCTTCCTGCTTTCTCAGCCTAACACATCTGTTTACCATCACATAAGCAACTGAAGATTTAAAATATAGATATACTGATCAAGGTACTTATATAGTTTAAATAAAGAACATATACTCTACAAGAAAAAAGAACCTCTTCGTACAACTAAAGATCACTTTTTAAAAATTAAAAAATAACACCCACATTGGTGTCACATATGCCTGAAAGTTCCAACATGCTCTAATCATCAAGGTTCCTATCAAGTCTTTATTCTGAATAATGAATTTACCACTTAAAATTTTATTTGCATTTACACATTATAAAACCTTCAAGTACTTTTCATGGCTATTCCTTTTTCTATTTCTCCTTTGTTTTCTTCCCTCTTCTTGAACAAATTAATTAACTCTGCAATGGCCATTTAATAAATACTGCTACCAGCCAGGTGCCAATGGCTCATGCCTATAATCCAAGTTACTCAGGAGGTTGAGATCTGAGGATTGTAGTTCAAAGCCAGCCCGAACAGGAAAATCTGTGAGACTCATCTCCAATTAACCACCAGAAAACTGGAAGTGGCACTGTGGCTCAAGTAGTGGAGCACTTGCCTTGGGCTGAAAAGCTCAGGGACAGTGCTCTGGCTCAGAGTTCAAGCCCCACAACCAATAAAAAAAAAAAAATACTGCTACCCAACAATCATATTTCTAAGTCAAGACAAGTAAATCTGTATTAGCAGTTCTCACTGATGGCCATTTTGCCCACTGGGGGATATTTGGTAAATGTCACATCATTTGTGGTTGTCACACTGGGAAGGAAGGATGCTCCCAGTATCTAGCAGGAAGCAGCCAGTGCTGCCAAGTACCGTACAATGTACTCAACAGCCTTCCACAAATAATGTCCAGTTCCAAATATCAATAGAGCCAATGCTCAGAAATCTGATCTAGTGTCCACATGGAGCTTTTAAATAAGATCAAGAATCCAATTTCAATATTAGCAATGAGCTATGTATCATCACATTTACGTCAATTATAAAATGTAATGCTGAAAGTATATTTCATCAATTAATGTATATGTCAAATATATTAGGTATATGTTTGTGGCAACATCACTGACTCATTTCAATATAGCCACCACAGCGTCATGAGGTATAGAGATGAAGAAAGACTTAAGTCTACACTTAATAAAAACTTGGTAGAAACAATTTCCATGATACTGTATTTGGCTTCCTGTGTCAAAGAGTAAACATGAGCTATTTAAAGTATCTACACAGCCAGTTCTCCAAGTACCAAACAATGTTCTCAATATAAAAACAGCTCCAGATTGTTACCCCCTCATTAACCTGTTGTCTGAATATGTGAATAGTTGTTTGAAACGATACCTGATATTATCTGGGTATACTATAATCCTAAGAGTATAAGTGCTTTCCAACAAATACAGTGGTTTATTGGTACACTACAATCTTATATTTAACTATTTCCTTCACATTAAAAAGATACCTTAAGGCTGGAAAGGTGGCTCAGTGGTAGAGCGCTTGCCTTGCATGCCTGAGGCCCTGGGTTCGATTCCTCAGCACCACATAAACAAAAAGAAAAAAGCCGGAAGTGGCGCTGTAGCTCAAGTGGTAGAGCACTAGCCTTGAGCTGAAGAGCTGAGGGACAGCGCCCAGGCCCAGAGTTCAGGCCCCACAACCAGGCCCCCCCCCCCAAAAAAAAGATACCTTAAGCTAACAATACTTGGAAAAGACCCTAAACTCCAACCACCCAGCAAAATGGCTGAACAGCCAAGCTCAATCTTAAACCATAATGTGTACTTTCTCATCCAGTGTTTTCTGGCACAATTCTCAACAAGGGAGCAGTCTCATATACATGATTACATAGTTGGCACTCAGCTCTTTGTTAATCAATCTTAAAAAACTAACCAATTTAAGGGAAATCAGATGTAATTATTCCTATGTATGAAAACCAACAAGAACAAAAGACCAAGCTGGTACAAAATTATCTCATTTCTACTACAAACAAGAAATGTAAAAATTCTGAAGAAAAAGGAAATTGATTATTGAGTTTTTCATCCCTAAAGTTGTTTATCAAGTGGCCATGGTAACCTGGAAGTAAACAGCTGCAGTATTATCCAAAGCTATATGCAAAAACACAAAATCATCCCCCGAAATTCAACAAGGCATCATCTTCCACTTGATTTGCCAAAAGTTAAACAATTTAGTTCACTTTCTACCCTTCAAAATATGTACTACAACACCAAATAAAAGTGTGGGGAGCTGCCTTGAAGGCAGTGCACTTGCCTGTGAACACAAGCAGGGCTGAAACATAGTTTGGCACTTAGCTACCACTAAACCCCAAACAGCAGTGAAGTAAAAAAACTGTTTTATCATGAAACTGACTGAAAATCTGTACTTCCTCTACTTCTAAATAAGCAAAACCATCCTAACTTGGATGCAGATAGTCTTCCACATAAACAAAAAACAAGAGTAAGATGAAAAATGCTAGTGGTTGTATGCACAAGAGCTGATGGTACAATTTACCCAATCTAGTATAGACTACACTTCCTGACACGTTTTGTTTTTGCTTTTCAGTACAGCCTCCTCCATCATGAGATTTTTAAGAATACTAAATACTCTCATCCAAGATTTTTAGCATTTTAATATTTTAAAAGATCAAGTTTGCAAATTGATATTGTAATTTATTTATTTACACATTTTTAGAGCTCCCAATACCTGACAAAATAAATTTCAATCTATTCTTTTATCAAACAACACTTTTCCAGCACAAAGCCTTACCTGCTTGGGAAACAAAAGGGAGATTTAAGCAAGGAAGATACAGGAACATTTAAAAAGCTGAACTGCAGTCAAGGTCTTTTTAGCTAACGTATAAGTAATTTCTAACAACAACAAAAAAATCTGTTCTAAGTTTTTCAAGAGAAAAAGCTGTTTCCAATTCTTGCTCTTTCCTAGACCAGCAGCTTTGGTCTTCTCAACTAGCTATAAACATATGAAATGCTTACACTAATTTATCTTCATTTTGGCAGAGGATCATTATGATCATTCTTCTCACTTCTGTATACTTTTTATTTTTGGTACCAGTTCTGGGCTTCAACTCAGGGTCTGGGCACTGTGCCTGAGTTTCTTTTTGCTCAAGGGTAGTGCTCTACCATTTGAGCCAGAGCTCTACTTCTGGCTTTCTGGGTAGTTTTTAGTGGGAATAAGTGTCTCACAGACTCTCCTGCTTGGAACTGTGATCCTCAGATCTCAGCTTTCTGAATAGCTAGGATTACAGTGAGCCAGCAGCACCTGGCTCCACCTCTGTATACTTTTAAACCATTATTTTAATCAGACCTGTAGACAGTAATGGATTTTTTAATTATGCATTTCTGGAGATCTCATTAAGCCAAATTCATTCCTTGACTAACTTTCTAAACAATGTAATGTTTTTCCAAATATTTTCCACTTCATCTTATTCTGATATTATTTCATATATATTTCACAAACTTTTCCTAGTGAAATTATACACAATGATTTATCAAACCTGCTTTTTTACATATCAAAATTTCCTCACTGAACCTTTTGTGTGTGTGCTCTCCTAGTCTCTGAGTTCAACTTTCCTGTATCTAAGTTGGAAGATTTAAATTTTATTTAGATTATTGGTGCCCTACTTGGTTTTCCCTAGTACTTGAATCAAGAATGGACTAAGTCATGTGCATCGTGATGTCTGCTTAATTTTGTTCACTGAACCCAACATACAGATGGGAGGAGCGGGGGAGAACTGACAGCTTGTGACAGCTTGTATTTATTTCTTAGTCATATAAGAACTGTCAAGAGGGGAGAACTATGGAAAACATGACACTGAACAAGATGCATTCACTTTACTCATAATCTGAACTGAAATCCCTTTGTACAACGACTTAAAATGGGTTAAAAAAAAAAAAAAAAGCAGCAAGCAGAAAGACGTATGGGAAGGGTAGACCAGGAAATGTAGCATGTAGAAAAAGTATAAAAGAGTAGATCAAGTGGGTAAGAGCTAAATGGATGAAAGGGGGGGGGGGGAGGGCGGGATATAAAGAAAGAAGAAACGATCCCCAGACCCTAACATCTTGCTCGTTTAGCTCGGCAATTTTTTTTTTTAACAGAGCAGATTCAACAACTGCCTCAACGTGTAAGAATCCTCTCCCCTTTCGGGACAGAAAAATCATGCCACCCAGTTCTCTTTGCAAGCAGGCGATGCAGCAGGAGGGGGGGGGGGGCAGGTGGGGGAGGGGGGACCTTCTTCCCTCCCCATTCCCCCCTCCTCTCGCCCCATCCGCCCCGAATCGGCCAGACACTTGGAGGAGGCTCTGCGGAACCAACGGAACTGGGTAGCCAGCCGTCTTCAGTTCTTCTCCAGGGCACTGGTGGGGATGACTAGGGTGGCGGGCGCGGCGGGTCCCGGCGATGGCTGGAGAGTTTACCCAAGCCCAACTCTCGACTGGCACCGGTCGAAATTTCACCCGGCTGCTCCCTGAGGCTGCCCCCCCACCCCCACCCCACCAACTCCCCCCACCCCCACCAGCCTTTTCCTTTCTGTCTGTTTTTCTTCTCTGACCACTATTTTTAGGTAACAACAGAAAACAAGCAAGTTGTCAAAGCCCCGCGAGCTGCCGAGGACCGAGTATCGCCCGATGATGGGGGGGGGGGGGGGATGCTGTGCGCGAGTGGGGACCCTAGAACTTCAGAGGCATCCCCCCCTCTTTGTTCCTAATTGACTGTTTCGTGACGGTCCTAAGGCCCTCCCTCACCCGGTCCCCAACCCACACACGATCCCCCCCCCCGTCCACCCCCGAAGGACACGAACCCCACCGGGCAAGTCCCAGGGAGTCGGGGATGACAAGAACAATAAAGGCGGGAGACCACCAGCCGGCTCCACACACAACGCCCCGAGCGGACGGCCGGGCTCCGGCGGGGCGGGGGAGGACCCCGGCCGCCCCGGCCGCCCCGGCCGCCCCGGCCTCCGCGCTCTCCGCACCCCGGCCCGGGGGCGTCCTGACACCTCGGCCTGCCACGTGAGTGGCCGCTGTGGCCGCCCCGCACCGGGCCCCGCCCGCCTCACCTGCCGGACCCCCCCCCGGGTCAGTGGGGCCGCGCCGTGCCACGCCGCGCCGGAGAGCGAGGGCTGCGGTCCGACAAGCCGAGCGCCGGCCGCCCGCGCCTCGCCAGCGCTCCTCCAGGCCGCCCGCAGCAGCGCCCAGCCCCGGGAAAGCGCCTCCGCTCAAACCGGTTTCAGCTGCTCTAGACCAAACTGCCGGGCCACCCCGTGGGGCGGGGCCGAAGAGAGACCGGGCAGTGCCTGACGTCACGCCCGGCGCCACCAGGGCCAATCAGAGGCCGCGCGGGGAGGGCGGGCCTTCAGGTTCTTGAAAAGGGCCCCGGACGGCGGCCGACAGTGGCCGGGTATCCCCGGGTTTCTCGCCGCGGGGCATTTTCTTTTAAACTGGGACCTGGGGCCTTAGGGCGTGTCTCGTGTTGGCATTTTGGAAAATGAGAGCGATTAGCTGGTCGGATGTTTTCCGAGAACTTTTCTGAGATCTTTACGTGTCCGTAGGGAGGAGCCTTAGGGGAAACCTGCAGAGGCTGAGAGTCGATACTTTTGCTGTGCCGAGTACCCTCCGACGACCTGCCCGCGGGTCACGCTCTGCCATCCCTAACCCCAACCCCCTAATTCCAGGCGAGCCTCACCGAACCAGTCTCCAGCAGATCCCAGAGCAAACCAGACTTCGTAGGAATTTTTCTGAATGCAAATCCTAGATTTGCCTAATCAAATCTGCCTGAAGATAGGTTGTCCCTATGCAAATGAAGGTCTGAAGGAATTATTCCAAAAGTGCCCCCTCTCTGGACAAATTACAGGCCTTTATTTACACACTCACACACACACAGAGCTTAATTTACTTTGCCTCCCCTTTTATGGTCCCCTTTAGCATTTGCCACTTGGTGAACCAGCAACAAAATTCTGTTAATCAGATTTTGATAAAGGTCTCACTCGTGGCTCACACCTGTAATCCTAGTTACTGAGCAGGCTAAAATCTGACTATGGTGGAGCTTTGAAGCCAGTGGGCTTGAAACTCCCAGAGTCTAGTTAACCATCAAGAAGAGGGAAATAGAGCAGTGGCTCTTGTGATAGAGCCCTGGCCTTGAGCAAAAAAGCCCAATGACAGCACCCAGGCCCTGAGTTCAAGCCCTTGAATACACAACACACACACACACACACACACACACACACACACACACACACACACACACACACACACACACACACACAGGCAAGCCTAGAGCTGTGAATTGCTTGGAGTGGGCCTTTGATAAAGAGATTTGGCTTAATGAACTCTTGTTTTAAACAGAACTACAAATCAGATTGTGCCTACATTTGATATTTGAACTTGGATTTGAACCAGGGAATTTCTGACAATGTCATCCATTCAGTTAAAAGTGCTGCTTTAGGTTAGGCACATACTGCAATGGTTTTCATTTTGTTCTGCCTTGATGCGTCATGTTTTATTACCTCTGTGTGTGTGTGTGTAGGTATTGGGGCTTGGACTCAGGGACTGGGCCCTGTCCTTTAGCTTTTTTCAAGTCCTATGCTCTACCACTTGAGCCACAGCTCCACTTCTGGCTTTTTTTTTTTTTAATGGCAATGGGAGATAAGCTTTATGAACCTTCCTACCCAATGGACCTCTCTATCCTTACATCTCAGCCTCCTGAGTAGCTAGTATTACAAATGTGAGTCACCAGCACTTGCCTCCAAATTTATTTAAAAATTAAAGGTTCCTCCTAGTTATATACCATTATCTGTTAAAATCTATTGTTGTATATTGCTAATAGCTCGGAGTTCATTTCATTTTTCTGCTGTAAGTCATACTTCAGTGATGTTTTTCAGGAGTTTGCTTCCTTGAAATAATAGTAGATCATTATTTTCCTGTAATCACCATTTAATCAAGCTATTATATGTCTATTGCTTTAATATTCAAGATGATATCCCTAACCCAAGTTTTTTCCCTAAATATTCTTTAAATAACAGAATTATGGTTACCTCTATGTATTCTTTGGTTCTGTATCTGCAGAGTCTACAAATGATGGATCAAAAATTGAAAGATAGGAGAGGAGCATGGAGGCCTTTTCCAATTGAGCTGGAGGAATAGGTTGGAGAATCTAGGCCCAGATCTGCTAGAGGACAACAAAGCCATATTAAAGGATTAAAGGAAAAATAGGGCTGGGGATGTGACTCAAGTGACAGTGCACCTACCTTGCAAGCTGGAGATCTTAGCTCCACTATTTGTTGGAACCGTCCGCATGCTCCTTAAACTGCTGCAACTGGGAGATCAGACCATGGAAACAAGGCTTGGGGTGCCAGGGGACCTGTAGCCTAATGTTGGCAACTGATCCCACAGTACCATTAACTAAGTTTTTATTGGTCTTGTGCAAGGAAGTAAGGTACAAACTTCAACATGTGACCATATTTTGTATACAAGTGGTAGGTAACCTTCTGGGAAGGAGAGCTAAACAGCAAACAGCCTACAACTTCCATAAACCTAAATCTAGCCTAAATCTCTCACACAGTTAGGGTGGAGTCTGAGTTCCTGGTAAACCAGGACTGATTGACCTCTCCAGGAAAACTCTAGTGTTCTGAAGGTATTCCAAACTCTCAATGCTTTGGGGGTCTCACAGCTTGGATTTTCCATCTCTTACAACTATTGCCCCAAACAACAACCACCACAACAAGAAAAGCAAGACTTTTCTTCTTGAGATCATTCCCTAACTAATACAATTTAGTAATGCAATAGTAATACAATACTATTTAGATAGCATTTTCAGTTGTATTGGTTAATACAATGTAACAACTATTCAGTTAGTATTGACTTTGTATTAGAAAGAACTTGAGGTCTTTGATATCCTGAGTGAGGCAGGGGATGGGTCTGGAACCAGTCCTACAAACACTGAGCCACATTTGAAGGAAGCCACTGTGACCCAGAAACTTTGGAATTTCTAGAAGATAAGAAAAAGCCTGTCCTTTTGCATGATTGACAGAGAAGCCAGGACTCACCTAGGGAAAGAAGGGATTTCTACAGATAACATTTATCAATCTTTCTTAGAAACCCTTTGATAACAAACAGAATATTAGGTAAGTTGTGCTACATTTATCTTGCTGTGATTGTAAACTCCTGGCACTTCTGTAGAATGATATAACACATGGCTAATGAGATTAATTTAGGTCTTAGCCTGCTTTTTCCACTATGGCTCTGTATGTTTTGAATTTTACAGAATATTTAACATTCATTATTTTATTTGATTAAATAATGAAATGTACTTTTTCTCTAAAATCAGCAATACAAGATTTTATTTTATAGATTTAGTGCCTTTTTAATGTATTAATTATAAATCTTAAGAGCCAGAGCTAGATATGTTTTCTGTCTCTCACTTTCTGTGATGTTTTAAATACAAATCTTTTATATGCATTTTATACAAATATATGTGTGTGGTATATAATATATTATGGTACAATATATAGCATATAATATATAGTATATATAATATATATGGTGGTACTGGGGTTTGAACTTAGGGCTTGCTGTTGGCTAGAGATAAGAGTTTCATAAACTTAGACTATTTGATAGGCAGATGCTATACCAATAGATGCTCTTAAATAAAAATATTTGGTAAAAAATTTACTAAGAATTGTGACAGAAACGTCTGCTGAGCCCAATTAATTTCTTAATTTTTATAAAAAGTGATTAGTGCTAAATTGCTCCATTTTTACTTTATTGAAGTTTTTAAATTCAATTTTCTTTTTTTTTTTTGGTCCGGTCGTGGCACGAACTCTGGGCCTGGGCGTTGTCCCTCAGCTCTTCAGCTCAAGGCTAGCACTCTACCACTTGAGCCACAGCACCACTTCTGGCTTTTTTCTTTTTGCTTATGTGGTGCTGAAGAATCGAACCCAGGGCCTCATGCATGCAAGGCAAGCGCTCTACCACTGAGCCACCTTCCCAGCCCAAATTCAATTTTCATACATATTTGATTACAAAAAATTATACTGATTGATTTTTTTTTTTTTTTGGCCAGGCCATGTGCCTGAACTCAGGGCCTGGACACTGTCCCTGAGACTCTTTGTGCTCAAGGCTAGTTCTCTACCACTTGAGCCAGAGCACCACTTTCGCCTTTTTATGAGTAATTTATTGAAGATTAAATTCTCACATACTATCTATAGCTTCTACCTATGTAAGTTTCCTTTTGCGGGTATTATGAATTAATTAATTAATTAATTGTTGGTCATGGGGCTTGAACTCTGGGCCTGGACACTCAAGGCTAGCCCTCTACCACTTGAGCCATAGCACTACTTCGGGCTTTTTCTGTTTCTGTGGTGCTGAGGAATCGAACCCAGGGCCTCATGCGTGTGAGGCAAGTACTCTACCACTGAGCCACCTTCCCAGCCCCAGTGGCTATTATTTCAATAAGATTAATTTAGTAAGTCTGCATTTTGTCACAAAACATTGGTTCTTCTAATATTTAGATAATGATACATTTTCCTTTGGTGTTTTTAACTATTATCAGGTTTGTTTAGTGCTGGTTCTTTTCTCAATATTCATTATGACTTAGATAATTTCTTGTTTGGTCTACAAAAATGTATTTTCCTTTCCCAACCTCTCTCCTGCCCGAACCTTCCATGAGTGTGTGGTGCTGGTTTGAACTCAGGACCTTGCACTTACTAGACAGGTGTTGTGCCCCTGGAGCCATGATCCCAGACCTGTCGGAATCTTATATTGGCTGGGTACCAGTGATTCATAGCTGGGTACTCAGGAGACTGAGATCTTAGGCTTGCAGTTCAAAGCCAGTCTAGGCAGATAAATTCAAAAGACTAATCTCCAATTAACCAGCAAAAAGATAAAAGTGTAAATGTGGCTCAAGAACATCAGCAGGATGAGTAAACCAAAAGAGAACAAGAGACCTTAGTTCAAATCCCAATTCTAGCAAAAAAAGGGGGGGGGGTAGGAGGGAGGAGAAAGAAGAAGAAGAAGAAGAGGAAGAGGAAGAAAAGAAGAAGAAGAAGAAGAAGAAGAAGAAGAAGAAGAAGAAGAAGAAGAAGAAGAAGAAGAAGAAGAAGAAGAAGAAGAAGAAGAAGAAGAAGAAGAAGAAGAAGAAGAAGAAGAAGAAGATAGAAAGGAGGAGGAGGAGGAAGAGGAGGGGGGGGAGAGGAACAATGACAACAAGAACTTATGAAACT